CTATATATGTATGTATTAGGCATATACATAAAAATGTATATCAAAATTTGTTAGTAAGCGCATAACTCAAGAACGCCTGGACCAATTTTACCAATTCTTTTCTGGTAATGTTTGTCAATGTTCGGCAGTAGGTTATTATAGAAAAAATTAAGAAAATTAAAGGGAAAAATCGCGAAGTAACGACTTTTTCATCATTAGCGAGGATATGCGTACAAAGTAGGGGCAGGCCGCTTGTCGTTTAACACAAACTGAGACCCTAATAGCACTTTTATAGAGAATCACAAAACCGATTCTCGGTCAATGACCCTGTTCATTGTTGCAATCTCTCAAGCCACCATCAGCAAAGCAATTAAAACCTAATGACACGAAACACAAGTCTGAATTGAGATCTTCGCTTGCTTTGAACTATCCAAACTTTACATGATTGTAACTACGATAGCGTGTACATTAACTATCAATATACATAATCTATCTTTGTGCATAATATGGTGGCAAACGAGCAGAAGAATCACCTGATGGTTAGCAATTAACGCCATCTATGGACACCTGCATGAACAAAGAAATTACGTTGACGGCATTTTAGGGATTAGAGGTATGAGTATTTGGGGATAAGGGGAGAAGTTTCGGCCTTAAGTAATCTCACTCGCTGTGGTTGTTCCACGACGCTTTTCTGTGAGACAGTGTTATCCATCCATTACTCCGGTCGATTCGACCCATTCGTGCCAAATCTATCTAACTACATACACATCACATCATTAATGAGACCAAAACAGTCCTTCTTTTACTTAAGTGGGACATTATCTTCAAGCTTGGAAAGCGTAGTAAAGGCTGCTCTAAATGGATCCAAGAGCTATACTGCTACTCTTTTTAATTTATTGAATATCAAGTTCCTTATTCAGTTCTTCAGACATCCACCGTAGGAGAAGTGCTTCCTAATATATTCCATACTGCTACACACATTAAAAGGCGCGTACTCATACTAGAGTTATGTACATACATATATCACAGTTGGTAACAACCAACCCCGCCCAAACAAAACCGAATAACAGCGTGCGTCGATAAAACGCACACAAAAATATGTCTCTATAACACAATCATGCAGTGCCATTGACGCATAAATATGGAAGAGGACAAGCTAGGCAATCAGTACGAATAATACTAGAAGTACTTTCGACTATGATTTAAATTGTTTGACAGTGCCATTTTGGCGCGGATTATCGGGTAGGAAGACAGTATTTCAATAAAATAACTGTTGCTATAATCACTCTTCTTACAACTCTTGATATGACAATCACAACTATTACAATCTAACTAAGGATAATTAAGATTAGCTTGGATTTGAACTTAGCGTCCAACGAACACGTGGCTGCACTCCACGAAGGTCCAACACTAAGTGTCCTGTTTTACAAGAAGCCCGCCTCACCAGAGCTCGGTGTTCGCTATGGACATAAAATAATTATGACATTTGACACCGACGTATATCAAAAAGAGGTATCACATGTACTGATGGCCAGTGCGCCGACATACTCTTATTTGCGAAATTATTCAGTGTTTTCTTTTTTAAAATTACCTGGTCATGTGATGACGTGGCCGCAATTATTTATGTATTAAGAATTATCCTTGAAGATTTTTAACGGCCTGCTTATGGTTTCAGCCGGTTGTATTCTATTTCTATTCATTTTGTCACGCGGTTCCGTACAAGCATGGCCCTTTAGATTTTGATTTGAATGTTTGCAGAGCTCATTTGTTGATAATGATTTAAAAACAGTTCTTGCACTAATTTGCATCTGTTACAAAAAAAATCTATAGCCAGAGTTGTACCAAAAGAAAATTGAAGGTTATTAGCAAAACAAAAGGCTGAAATGCATTTTTTTTTTAAGAAATTTATGTTTTTTTTTAGTTATTTAAGTGCGTTTGACCTCTGTCGAGTCAGGTGGAAAGCAATGATGGGGTCTAAGGTGGAACATGCAAACTCAAAAAATGCCTATTGACTCTTGAAAATCCCTAAATCGTAAGACTTTAATCACAGTACTAGTATTACATATTGAGCACACGAATCCATATAATCATTACATAGGCTATGATTAGATACGTTATACATATATACAGATTTACACATAACCACTTCCATAATTATCGGCTTATGTGAATACTAATAGTAATCTGTCAGTCAAGTATAATACACCGAACACGGGGTAAATTAACCAGAATCACTAATAATTATACTAATCAAGTTTTTTTTACTTACAATACGTAGCCCGACTGTAAGATCTTCTCCTGCGTTTACAAACATACAAATTCACATCGACCCAAACCCGGAACAACAATCTGTGGATCACACAAAGAGTTGTTCCGTGCGGGAATCGACCCGCTGTGCGGCAGCCAGTTGCCCAGCCACCGCGCCCGCGCCCACCGTGCAGTCAATTTTGCCAGCCACCCCCTCCGTTTTTCTGTGATTTAATATTACTACTAAAAATCCATAATCACCTAGCACACAACAAGTTCATGACCATACCATTTTCTTTAATAAGCATAATAGTTCTACATCAACCGAGAATCGTCGGAGGAAATCGTCATAAAGAGACAGACCTCTGAGTTGGTTCGTTATTATTTCTTCTCAGATTAATCAGATAGGAAATGCCGGCTTCATCTAGTTTTTTTATATATAACTAGCGGGCCCTCACCGAAAACCCCCACATATCAAATTTCAGCGAAATCGTTAGGCGCCATCTGCCGGACTGATTTCTGAATCTAAACCATCCAACGCATACAACAGAATTATATACATATAAAGATGATGACGTGTAAACATGATGTTTAATGGTCTACTTACGTAAATAAAATATTTTTTTCATTGTATAATTTGTGCATACAGGTATATTTGACAGCTGACAGGTCATCATGACCGTTTGTCTTCAACCCCACGATCCCATGAAACGAGATAGCCATTAATTGACAGACTGGTTGATTTATAATATCGTGGATTAAGTACATTTTGTAATCAGTCTCTAAGACTAGCCTCAACATTAAACATGAAACTTCGTTATTCTAAAACAACAAAAATTCTGAAATCGGACAATGGATATCGTATAATCAGTGAAAAATAAGTTTTAATTTTTTATTTTTACCTGTTTGTAACTCTTCAAATCTTAATCAACTAATAGCCGAAATGTAGAAGTTCAATCAAAGATTGATTCAGCGATTTTATATTCACCATTACCAGCCTACACCATTACAAGTCCAGCTTCATTAGGATGTTTCCCTATTCCATAATTATGTCAGTAATTTGTAATTAATGTAAGAAATTTTGAATTAAGATCGCTTTTTAACTTTTTCCTATATGATATTTACAAGATAACAAATCCTTGTTTTGATTTAAGAGGTCATGTCAGTGGCATACAAGGTAAAAATACTAGGAACAAAAAACTGGGACTTACTGATAACAACAAACTTTTGGCATTAAACAACTTATTCAATTAATCAAGGTCTTAGGATCAAACTAATTAGTGTTATCGATGCTTGCATAAATAAGGAGTAATTAGCAAGTAATAAAAAATCAAATATGTTATGTTTTATTATACAACAGATTATATTTTTTTCTTGTTTACTCAGAATTGAGATTCATATTTATATCTGACCACAGACAAAATATGTATGTAGATGCGTGTATCTTGTATTTATTTACATAGATAGCCAATCACTTTTTCCGAGTTACTTTCTATGGTTATTTAGACACCTCTGACATACGGTGAAGGAAAACATCGTGAGGGATAGCTCTCGATTCGATCGAGATTAATGCTCAAACCTTCTGCTTGTGAGAAGAAGCCTTTGATTAACAATGGGCCCTTATAAGCTGATGACGTGATGTGATGTGGGTGTACGTCACATATTTTTATAAAGATAACGGATATGCCGACTGAACCAGAACCCGTCTTGGTGTCAAATGCATTAAACATATTTTTTGCGTTCTAACCGACACTGTAATTGAGTGGACAACATTCGAATGTGGGGATTCCAAATAATATGTTTTACTCTGCTCTGCGAGGTGACAGAATTGAAAGACTCTATGGAAAAATCCGTAAAAGGCATTACAAATGACCTTACCGTTAGAAAAGGTATCTCCGTCATGAGTCATATCACATGGCTAGCCTGAAATTTAGCGCCTAGCTTTTATATAGTTCTAAATTAGTGCTAATTTTATTTGGCTCTTGCATATGCCTATATACATACATACTTTGTGAAAGATTCCTCTTGTAGATTATTGATAAGCATTACTTTTAAACGCGTACATAAACAAAAATCCATCATTATTTTCCTCCCCGTAAAACAGTTTTCAGTGTAATAATTAAAAGTCAAATTCGATTTGATGGATTCATTCCATTCGTTTTAACAAGCGTTGCATTGCATCAGACAGCATGTCGAATTGTCATTAATTACGGCCTTCAAATAACCAATGTAGTCTACTCATCCATACCATATATCAAATGTTACTTTACTGGGTTCAATATCATTAAAGAGCACGATAATTTTAATGAAAGTTAAGTACAAGATGAGAAAAATGTTTAAAATTATTACTAAATACATAATATGTACAAGATTCCATTCGTTATTAGCATCGTAAACTAAAACTTTAAAAACTAAATAATACACATACATCAAAATAAATTTTGTGACATATAAAATGAATTAGTGTTCGTTGGTCTTGCTTAAACTCGAGAACGGCTGATCCGTTTTAGGTAATGTTGGACTTAAAATATTCGTTGAACTCCACGAAAGTCAAAGTCAAAATCGTTTATTTAAACTTAACCATAAAAAGGTACTTTAGGAACGACAAAATAGAATGATAGTCTGTCAGTTTGTTCGTTAGTGAAGCTAGGTGCTCGTTCCAAACTGTAGATTCGAAGGTTTTGAAAGATCAGAACTTATATACCTACATCAGAACATATTTGAGACAATACGGAGTTCTCCGGGTCAGCTAGTGTGCTATAAATCTAATCAAAATGTCACTTAGCCTTCCAATCGTGGTAATTTAGACATATTAGAGGAACAATAGATGCGTGAACATTCGCTTGGGGTTTGATGAATTCAAAGCTAAAAACTTATTTTTCTTAAAAAAACAATGTCAACCTGATTAATGACCTTTTTAACCGAATTCCAAAAAGGAGGATGGTTCTCAATTCCACCGTGTATATACTTTTTCTATTATCTGATAATACTGTAGTTTCCAAATATTCAAATTCAATACTTTTATCCAAACGTTAAAAACCATACTTTTCTATGAAATCTGTATAAAAAACTGAGTTATGACGTCATAACATTTCTGCGTCAAATAGCTTACTTAGGTACCTACTTATTTCTTAATAATTACCTAGCTAAAAATATCTAAGACTTAGTGTATCGATCGATCGATGAATAAACGTATACTTATTTTAAAATAATTTTATTGTATTGAAACGTCGATTTTTTTTTTTTTTGATCTACGAAACTACCTTGCCTGTATATTGATCTAATTTAAATTTATTATTTGATAGCAAACAAATGAATCATGTCATAGATCCGTTCCTAAGTACCGCCATTTTGTATTGCAGAAGGTCCTAACAACAGCAGTTCTGGCGATAGCAGCCTTGTCTTCCGCCAGCGTGGTGAAGACACCGGGAGACAACTTCGAACTCCTCATCCTCCACAACAATGACATGCACGCGCGATTTGAACAGACCTCACAGCAAGGAGGAACCTGCACAACTGCTGATCGGGAGGCGGGAAAGTGCTATGGAGGTTTTCCTAGAGTTGCTCATGTGTAAGTAATTCTGTAATTAACGAATCATATATATAATATATGTAATAATAGAGTTACGATTGCGATGGATTGACCCATTCGTGCCGAAACATGGCTTTCCCATATTTTCAAATTTACAGATTTTTTATTCATAAACCTTTTAAGCATTATTTTGTTTTAATGCTAATTAAAAATCATACCTGAATTTACTATAACTATATTTTAATTTCTACTATGTACCTATCTACATATTATTATATTATATCTCCATCAACGTGTTTATATTGAATGCCAATGCTGATAATCTAATGTTAATTTATTTAAACTTAAATTAAATTTGAAATAAATCACTAATAAAACTATAAGAACCAAAAGATGTGGTATAATAGAAAAAAGCGTATAGTTTCTGGCCACGCGGAGTTATTCAAATGAGACGTTAAACATTTCAGTGTAAAGGAAGCGAGAAAAGCGGCTCAATCTGGCGAAGGCCCACCAGTCTTATACCTGAACGCTGGAGACACGTACACCGGTACAGCATGGTTCACCATCTACAAATGGAAGATTGCTGCCGAATTCGTGAACGCACTGCAACCTGATGCTGTTGTGAGTACCAAAAAAAAATCAAATTTCACCATCAAACGCGATTTTTCGTCTGTCAATTATCCGTGAAGTGAACGTTCCGGCTTTATGGATGTCGATTTCCATTGGTCTAGGTATCCATTACCTGTGACATGGCTTCAATTGCTTTTGTGCTGTCTTTTGTAAAAAAAAAGTCAACGGTCAACAAATAAAATTATTCTACCTATTGGGTTTTGCGATGAAGCAAATGTATTTGAAAATCGAATACATTATTTAAATATTAAATCCTTCATGGAACAGCAAATTCGAAATCTTATTTTATTTATTGATAAACCAGTCACTCTTTGATTTTACGTCAACCGTGTAAACATTTATGAGGTCTAAATGTGTATGAAGCACTAGACAGGACATGTACCCACTCCGATATAATTTGACTGGCTTTATGGGATAGGACACCATCCATACAATATTTACTTATTGATGATACTTATATAGTAAAAATAAACCATATTGATAAAACTTGCTGAATGCAAAACTATAAATATAATCAAAGAAATTAGTAGTTATACAGTCTTGAAATTATTTAAAAAACTTTCAAAAGATCAACAAATATATTAAAGTAAACTGAATATAAATAAAAAAGTGGATAAAAAACTTGACAATGAAACACGCAACTTAATATTATTTGCGTCAAACGTAAAACTTTTTAAATTAGATTTTTAAATTCGCTTGCAGTTGGTACTAACCGTTAAGGTACCTATTTAAAAAAAACAATAGATAATAACTACACATAGATACACGTGATTTACTTTCGTGAGTTCTAAAATTAAAATTACGATATCGGTGTTACAATTTTATTGTTATAATAATATACATATCTTGCAATTTACATCGTCTTGTCATCAAACATGTAAATATTTTGCAGCAAAGTCTAAGTAGGTTAAACGTATTATTTAGTTACTCAGATTTAACGACTAGTTAGATTATATTAATTGTCTAATAAAATATACCATCGCAATACATAAAACTTAATCATTTCGTATAATGAAAAACGTAGGATCTATTACAAAATGAAACGCTGCGAAAAATGATTTTGGGTAAAGTGAGACAGAATGAGTATTTAGTATTTCTGTCTTGTTCTAGTCAAATAATATCTTTACCAATGGAAAGTTTTGTTATTTGTGCTGTTTTTGTGATCATTGAAGTGATTTTTGTTCGTTTACTGTCATCCATTTTTAGCTATCAACCGCGTCCTTTGTTTGTCATGGGTCCAAATAGATTGATTATGCACTCCTATAATATTGATGAAAAGTGTGTGTGTGTGTGCGTGTGTGTATAAAGTGTATTGTCTAAACTAAATGTGATCATATCATATTGTAGTATATTTACCTACATCTTCATCTGGCATTTGTTGTTGTTTTTGGAAAATGTTCTCAGACCAAAATTTTACAATAACTCATAAGCCCAAGATAATAATAGAAATGGCGACAAGGAATCATTTTGGGAATCAAAGAAATGAAAAACTTTAAACCAGTACAACAGAGGATTAATCGTAAGTATTATTACATGTAGAAAAAAATGTGACTAACTTACTATCAAAAGGGTCTTACTCTAACACTCAAATTGTACTATGTCTACTATATCGATATGACTTTAACACATTCTTATAACCTTACAAATTAACACATAGAATGTTAAGTATAGTATCCGCAAAGACGATAAAAAATTGCGCTCAACATACTCTGTGATTTCATGCTAATTTGATGCGACGATGCAAACAGATAAGCGCCAATTTTATTTCGCTCTGCGGGCAAGCTCTTACATCTAACAAAATAACATGGTGTGGGTATATGTTTATGTATGCACTGTATATGTAACTTTAATAACATTTGCTTTTGGTGATGGTGATGGAATGGTTTTGAATAACTTACATATTTTAAATACTTACTTACATCTATTCGAAGACTCTTTGTTATATCGAAAAGGAATGCCTAAAAATACTCGTAAGATTACAATAACTGATTGTATACTCAAGCGATTTAGCTACATCATGTTCAAGTTATGTAATCTCATTCATAATATTGTCATAAGTATAAAACAGCTAGAGAATATTTTCTAATAAACCAGGCCTTCCTTTTCTCTCTAACTGACAGTGTTCTTTACTAACTTCTAACCAAACTAATAATTTATTATAATACAACTAACCTTATTAATTTATTTACTGACATTAATATTAACATACATTTTATCATTTCAGTCTCTCGGCAACAACGAAGTCGACAAGGAAACATTGGAAGTCTCGCCATTTTTAGAAAACTTAAAAACAAACATCTTGGCTTGTAACGTTGTGTTAAAATCTGCCGAAGGAAAAGTTAAAATTGAGAAATCCGTTGTATTTGATATTAAAGGTGTTAAGGTTGGAGTTGTTGGATATTTAACACCAAATAATAATATTTTGGACAGTCTTGGCCAAATTGAATACATCGACGAAGTTATAGCAGTGGCGAGCGAAGTAAAAAATCTTCAAGCGTCAGGAGTTAAAATAATCATCGCCTTAGGTCATTCAACTCTAGCTAAGGAACAAGAAATAGCTAGGGAAGTTACTGGTATCGATCTGGTAATTGCTGGTAACAAAAACACATTCTATTGGAACGGTCAAACTCTGACCGACGACCACGAACCTATAGTAGTAACACAGGCATCAGGAAAAAAAGTGCCGATTATTCCATCAACAGCATACAATACACACCTCGGTAGCATTAAAGTCACTTTTGATAATAACGGTGAAATTTCAGAATACAATGCAAAACCTATCTTACTGGACGATTCAATTCCGCAAGATACAAAAGATGTACAATTGCTCGAAACACTATCTCTTGATCTTCCTAAAAATACAGAAGTACTTGGAAAAACAGCTGTCGCACTTGATGGGCAATCTTGCTCCACAGAAGAATGTAACCTTGGAAACTTAATCGCTGACGCCATTGTACACTATTATGCTGTGAACTACGAAGGTGAAAGATGGACTGATGCTCCAATAGCCATCATCCCCAGTGGTGTTATCGCAAGGCAAACAATCGCACCACCCAATAGACCTGCTGATGTAACTAGAGGTGATTTACTTACTGTTTTGCCCTTGGAAAGTAGCCTCGTAGCTGTAACTATGAACGGACAAATCTTGAAGCAGGTTCTAGAACATTCTGTATCCGAAACTGACCCAGGTAGCTATTTACAATTTTCTGGAATACGCGCAGTGTTTGCAATGGGAAATTCACCAGGAACCAGATTAAAAAGCGCTGTTGTCCGTTGCTGGGAATGCAATGTTCCGCTATTTTATGAAATTGAAGATAATAGAAACTACAAAATATTGATGCCAGCTTCTATGGCTAACGGAGAATTTGGATATTCAATGCTGACCGCATTACCGAAAACTGAGCTTGATTATGATGAAATAACTTGTACAGCAGAATTCATAAAAACGAGAAGCCCTGTTTATCCAGAAGTGGCTGGCCGAACTCAAACAGGCTCTGCGATAGCCGTGACTTCTTCCTTTCTTCTTGTTGCTATTGTATCATACATTGTAATGTAACTGTTTATTTGATGTTGAATTTATAACCATTCAAATGTTTTTCGTGATAAATATATTTTGAATTAGCATTGTGAGTATTTATTACCCATCCGAAAAAAGTATAGTTTAGTCATGAAGCTAGTATGCAAATCACTTGGAAGAATCTTTGTAGAACAAAACAAGATAGATAAGAAACTAGTACAAGATATCTAAATTCAAAAATTTGTAAGTATTAAAAAATATAACTATAACTCATACATTTCAATTGAATAGCTTTATGGAATAAAATTGGCATGCCTCTCCTGGACCTTATAACATTTTCTAAAACCGATGATAAAATCAATAAAAACACACATAAATTAATCCTGTGACAAATCAACCAATCGAACTTAATTAAAACCCTAATAACATCCATCAATTTTCCATTATAGTCTACGATTTTATATATTAATAAACCATAGAGGGGTTCATAAAAAAAACTAACGTCAGTGTAGATACACTGTAAATTAATATTTTTTTTTAATATAAGGGATTTTTAAAATCAATGTAATGTAACCAATGCATGCTTGACATTACTGGATCTAACAGAAAAATCAGACTACGTCTAACTATAACTTCAACCAATAATAAAGATGTTGCTTAGTGCATGCCCATAGCTTCTGTAAATGTCACTTTAAAAGTGAAAGACAGACATTAAAATTGAAATGTTAATCCGTTCATCCACTAAGCAATGTTTGTGGATATCACCCATAGTTTAAATACGTTTGAAGTCATAATATTAACATTATACTGAAACGAAGATATACTCCCCAGTACAGATTTGTATGCTAACCAAGTTTTCAACCCATATTACCAATATCTGTTAAGATACTAGACGTATATTTTAAATTACAGCTATTTTAATGTCATATCACTGAAATAGTAAAGTATCGATGGTGAAACGATTACTAGTACTTACTATATCAGAAACTGAAAATGACTATATCGAAGCATATTCGTCTTGGATCTACAGTTTAATGGTATATATTATGTGAATGAATTCTTGCAAGTGTGAATTTCGCTTATGGAGTTTAGCTTACCAACCATTGTGAACTGCATTTATTAATTCTTTGTTTCAGTGTCTTGGAAATCACGAATTTGATAATGGCGTAGCCGGACTATCTCCGTTTATAACGAATATTTCATGCCCAGTTCTAGCCGCCAATCTCAACCTCACGAATGTGCCCGAGTTACAAAATCAAAGCAATTTAATGAATTCAGTTGTATTCGACATAAATAACACTAAAATTGGTATTGTTGGGTATCTAACACCAGATACTAAGTTCCTGGCTATAAGAAATAATGTTGAGTATATAGACGAGATCGTAGCGGTACGAAATGAAGTGGCTTTGCTAAAATCCAAAGGAGTAAATATAATAATAGCTCTCGGTCACTCAGGTTTTGTAAAGGACGTGGAAATAGCAAGAGAAGTAGAAGAGATTGATCTAGTTATAGGCGGTCATACTAACACGTTTTTATGGAATGGAAATGTAACTGATTCAGAAAATCCCGAGGGCCCCTATCCCACTTTAGTGGAACAAAAATCTGGCAGGTTGGTGCCTGCGGTGCAAGCTTACGGATTCACAAAATATCTTGGAAAACTGCACATCATATTCAACGCTGACGGTGAAATAAACAGCATCGATGGAAATCCTATACTTTTAGATAACTCTATTACACAAGATCCTGCGGTTTTAGAAATTGTTAATTACTATCAGGAGAGTGTCCAAAACATAACTGAGCAAGTGATTGGTAATACGTCTACATTTGTAGATGGCCATTCATGTCGAATAAAAGAATGTAATATGGGAAATTTCATGGCGGATGCTGTAATTCATAATTATGTTTCAAACTATAGAGGCCAAGGTTGGACTGACGCTCCTATCGCCGTCATCCACAGTGGTGGTATAAGATCGTCATTTGATAAACAAGACGCAATAACTAATATTACGAAGGGAGATACTGTACGTGTTATGCCATTTGATGGTATTTTGGTTAAAATTAGAATAGATGGTCTATCTATATTGAAGATGTTGGAATATTCTGTTCGAAATTATAATGCCTCGTTCCCATCTGGTCACTTCTTGCAAATGTCAGGAATGAAAGTAAAATACGATATGAGTCAACCTTCTGATAGTAGGGTTATGAATGTATCTGTGCTATGTGGCGATTGTCTGTATCCTGAATACAATACTCTGAATAAGACAGAAGAATACAACATCTTGATGCCTGCCTTTCTAGCAAACGGAGGCGATGGTTTCAATATGTTTGATAATTTAACTATAACAAATTTGGACATAGATGAAATTTCGTCTGCTGAAGCTTATATACAAAGTCATAGTCCTCTGCATCCAGCTGTAGAAGGACGTATTATACTAGAAAATGTAAACTCAGTCGGACAAGTAGATAGGTAATAGTAAAAGTATAGTAGCGCTTCTTTTTTTTGAAAATGACTTCCCAGTACCTAATAAGCGTGACAAATATGAAATAGCAAAGTCCTTAGAAGACTATTAGGAAACTAAAAATAGACAAGTACAATGATAAATTAAGATCAAATAGAAGCAAGTCACAATTCAGAATAAAAAAGAAAAACTAAGTATTTAAAATTCAGTATTATTAACATTCCGTCCAATTTCGAAGAAAATATTATTTAAGTAACTTATGAAAAATCTTAAACTGATAGGTATAACTTAAGTTCCTCAGTACGTAAAAATGTGATATCCCTAATAAGGGAAATATATTTTGATTATTACAAGTAGTAAATTCTAATTATTATGTATTCATTAAGATATTAAGAACAATATGTGATATTTTATCATTAAATTGAACTGATGGGTATTTTATACTATATGTCAATAAAATTGATTGATTAGATATTAATAATAAATGTAAGGTTAGGGAAATAATCATTGTGCAATGCTTGGAAAAAAGAAAATACTACCATGACAAAATAAATTATACAACTTAAAGTTTCTTAATTGCTCTCTTATTTAAAAACACAATCACTTATATTTATTCCTTAAAAATTATTGAAGAAGAATCGAAGTAACATTGCTGGACCCTTTTGTAAGTATTTTTATTTTAATAGGCATGATATTTTTACTTGTAGTTTGGAATAAGTTGTTTAACACTTAATGGATTATTTTATTTTTCAGAGCAAACAAATTACTTCATCCGTGTTTTGCCATACTAACCTACATTCGTAATGTCTTGTACTAACCTAATTGTACACCTAATAATGCACGGATATATAGAACTATAAAATTAAATGCATGATCCTCTTGTAACAACTGCATGATTATTTAAATAATAACAAATGCGTGCTACATTAATTTCTTAATTGTTACAGTCACTGGGGAACCACGAGTTCGATAATGGAATATCTGGTCTAACACCGTTCATCGAAAACCTAACGTGTCCAATACTTGCAGCTAACCTAGTCCTTACCAAAGAACCAGAATTACAATCTAAGAAAAACTTAATGGATTCCGTAGTATTTGATATTAATGGTACTAAGATTGGAGTCATTGGTTATTTAACTCCTGATACTAAAGTATTGGCCATTAGAAATGACGTAGAATACATTGAAGAAGTAATAGCAATTCAAAAAGAAGCTGCCAAACTGAAACAATTTGGAGTAAATATTCTCATAGCTCTGGGACATTCTGGTTTCACTAAAGATTTAGAGATAGCTGAAAAAGTAGAGGATATCGATGTCGTTATAGGTGGTCACACTAACACGTTCTTATGGAATGGTACTAGTCCTGACGTTGAGAAACCAGAAGGCATGTACCCGACACTAGTAAAACAAAAATCTGGAAGATTAGTTCCGGCTGTGCAAGCCTACGCGTACACCAAATATCTCGGTAAACTTCACATCGTATTTGATGCAAATGGTGAGATAATCAGTTCTGATGGGAACCCTGTGCTTTTGGACAACTCAATTCCTCAAGATCCCGAAGTATTAGCAATTGTTAATCGTTATCGTGAAAGTATGTTGCAAATAACAGAACAAATAGTTGGGCATACTTCAGTTATATTGGATGGACAGTCGTGCCGGTTGAGAGAATGCAACATGGGGAATTTAATAACCGATGCAATGATACAAAGGTACGCATCAGAATACAAAGGATATGGTTGGACTGACGCACCTATAGCTATCATCCAAGGAGGTGGAATAAGAGCTTCAGTAGCTCATCTTAATTTACCAGCAAATATAACACAAGGAGACCTCTTACGTGTGATGCCATTTGATGGAAATATTGTAAAAATAACAATTAACGGCAGTGATGTGTTGAAAATGTTGGAACATTCGGTATGGAAGTATAATACAAAACGTGCCGTCGGTCAGTTTTTACAAATGTCTGGAATGATGGTAGAATATGATTTTCGCAATGCTCCTGGGAAACGAGTTTCGAAAGTCTACATGCGATGTGGTGAATGTACAAATCCAGAATACACCGCTCTTAATAAGACAGGAACGTACAAAATTCTGATGCCAGCATTTTTATCGATGGGCGGTGATGGTTTTTCTATATTTGATGGTCTGCCTTCTACTCCTCTGAGTTACGATGAGTTAGGGTCTACAATCCAATACGTGGAGAACCACAGCCCTGTATACCCAGCTGTTGAAGGCAGAATTGTCATTCACAACCTCGACAAATTACGTAACTCAGGGACCACCTTAAAATTGTCGGTACTATCGGTCTTTATGTTCCTTTATGCGCTGTTGTTATAAAATATACAAGTAGAACAAAATTTTAAATTTATGTTCTTTCATAATATTATTATACGTAGAAGTTTATTGGATGTGTTCATCAAAGTCTAGTGAACAAAATGCAGTAAGTAAGAGTAATATGTTGTGGAGACGAGAATGACTACTTTTATCCCCACAACTTAGCTTTAAAAGCCATTATTTATTGCAATAGATACCAGATCAGTATTATTATAACTTTATTATAATAAAGCTATATACTTATATAATTATAACTTTATTAGTGTGAAGATACAATAGAAGGTAAGAAAAGAAGCAGGGCTTCTTACTCTTTTAGTAATTACATCAGTACTCTTTTGATATTTTGTCTCCTTTCAATAAACACATTTTCACCTACGCCTTTCTTTGTATTTCAATTTATTTTCAATCTTTACGTAACCTTCTTTTTAGCTTTTTCTTCGCAATGTACAACCTAAATGTACGACTATATTAACTCAAACATACTCATGGACCTGATTCAAAATCACATACAAACCAAAGCTTTTCGAAAAACTATACATTTCAATCCAAAGTGAACTATGAGCATAATTATAGGACGCCAGTCCGCGGACGCGTAACAAAAATCGTTAACAGACAGTACATAGGCTGTACATATACTCTATATACTACCTACCTATCTATCCACCTACCTACCTACAGTAATACACCGCACTAGCCAATCAATAAAACTGCAATTGAGAGCCGACACAAAATATGTCCGAACAAAGTAATCACGATGATTGAATGATGTTGCGTTACATACACACACGTTCGCGTATGGACCAAGCTAACCACCCCGTGTTTCAAACTTTCAATGGATTCACAAGCGCTGAATTTTCTCTTTGAATCTCGAATTTTGAAGTACCTACCTATATACCTATTGAATACTGACGTTGGCGTATTCAAACAAAGAGTGACCGGAAAAACAGGCGCGAGTTTATTACGCAGGCGTGTACCGACCCCAATAAATAGAGAACTATTTTATTTGAGTACTACGTTCATGATTTTAAATAAAGTACAATGAGGATTCTTGAATTCTTTTTATATTGCAACTTTTGTTTCAGTCTCTTGGAAACCACGAGTTCGACAATGGAGTCAGCGGACTTACACCCTTCATAGAAAATCTTACGTGTCCAGTATTATGTGCCAATCTTGTTCTTAATAAAGTACCAGAACTTGCTAGGGAAGCTAACCTTAAAAAATCTATAGTACTCGATGTTGCGGGTCACAAAATAGGTATAGTTGGCTACTTGACGCCTGAAACCAAAGTTTTAGCAGTACCCAATGATGTGGAATATTCTGACGAAATAGAGGCTCTCAACAAAGAAGTAAAGAAACTTCAATCTGAAGGAATTAAAATCATTATTGCTGTTGGCCATTCTGGATATCATAGAGATTTAGAAATAGCTAAAGGAGTCGATGGATTAGATTTAATTATTGGTGGCCATACCAACACATTCTTATGGAACGGCACAAGTCCAGATGCGGAACAACCAGAAGGCTTCTATCCTACTTACGTGGAGCAACCGTCTGGAAGAAAAGTTCCTGTTGTTCAAGCATACGCTTATACCAAGTATTTAGGAAAACTTTATTTACTTTTCGATTCTGAAGGTAATTTAGTTAGTTCAGATGGAACACCAATTCTTTTAGACCAAAGTATACCCCAAGACGAAGAGGTTTTGCAAATAATACACAAGTACAAAGACAATGTTGTTAATATTACAGAAGAAGTGGTTGGCCGTACTGCTGTAATTTTAAGTGACGAATGTTCAGGTGTAGAATGTAATATAGGTAACTTGATCACTGATGCGATGGTTTATAAGTACGCTTCAGAATATACTGGGGAGCATTGGACGGATGCACCTATTGCCATAATACAAGCCGGAGGTATACGCGCACCAGTAGCACATGCGAAAATGCCAACAAATATTACCACAGGAGATTTACTTACAGTAATGCCGTTTGATGGTAATGCAGTAACAGTAACAGTTAACGGCAGCATTCTTAATGAAATGATAGAACACTCAGTCGCAAGTGGGGAATTTCTGCAATACTCTGGAATTAAAGTCGTCTATGATCGAAGGAGGCCATCAGGATCGAGAGTAGTTGACGCTACAGTCAGATGCTGGGCATGTGATATTCCGAAATTCACAAAAATAGTAGACAAAGATATTTACAAAGTGATAATGCCTAGTTTCCTTGCAACAGGAGGAGATGGATACTCCATGTTTCATGGTTTACCCACAACAACTTTGGATTACAACGAATTAATTAGCACTAAATATTATATTTCACGTCATAGTCCAATTTACCCACAGGTTGAGGGGCGTATCACTTTCCTGAATGAACATGAATCGAGTTCATCTTGTACTGCAGAAGTATCATTACTTTTAATGTTATTTACTATTTTAGCGTCCCTCGTAGCTTAAGTTTTGCAGATAGTACAAATAAATTTAGTAGCACAGCAGTTTAGTTTCAGATTTCCTATTAATATGACTGATCAGTTTACAATGTTATTGTTGTTTTAGGTACTAAGTACTTATTAAGTATTTCATTTGATCAAGTATTATTTCAACTTAAGTATTATTTATTTGTTAATTGAATGACTGCAACATGTGTTCTATTATTTGATTTTTATTTGAAATAAAGTTTTAATAATATTGACGTCGATTTTATTTATAACTCGGACAGATAAAAAAGTAAAATAATGTAGGAGAATGTTTTTTTCACTTATTCAATTTGGTTAAACATTAATCCTCTTTTAAGCTAAATCAGTTGGATTTGTACTTAAGATAATGGACTTGTGCTATTCTGAATATAATGAACTTATCTCAAATCATCTCTTGCAAGTCATACTTTATAAGAATAAATATATGAAGAAATAAATTAATTAAATTTAATCTCACTGTGGATTCAGGAGTGACTTTGCAAAATAAACTTACAGAATAGCCCTGCACATTACAAAATAACTACTAAAAATAACGTTAGCAAAAAAAAAATATAGTAAAAGATGTTCATTCACAAATCATTCTCTATAATGGGTAAGTTAGAGTTATTTTCACCCTGCGGGTAACTTTGATCCAAACCTCTTAGATACCTAACTAATAATAGCCCGAAACTAAACGTATAGCATTAGTTTTTCATCGGTATGGATGAAAGTTCCTCGAATTTACGGTAATTAAAGCAGTTTGAACGTCTACTTCTTGAGCATGCTGTACTAATGGTATACGCAGACGTACTCCGGACCCTAAGGTCAACGGTTGAACTACCTTCCTAAGCGACGGTAGGTAACACTCACAATGTATATTTATATGACAAAGGCATTCGTATATATATTTCAAACCTTTACATATTTCATCATCATCATCATCATCAGCCCATAAGTGCCCACTGCTGAGCAAAGGCCTCTTCTCACAATGCGGGTTGGCGATTTCAAATTTATAATTAGATATTATAAACTCCAGGTTTCCTCACGATGTTTACCTTTAACGTTGTGGTCGTGGTGGCCCGGAGGTTAAGGAGCCCTCTTCTCATGCATGAGGGTGTAGGTTCGAAACCTGGCAAGTACCAATGGGACTTTTTCCGAGTTATATATACTTTCTATGATTATTTAGACACCACTGACATTCGGTGAAGGTATAGATATTTACTTAAAAGTCAGGTAAAGCTGGTGATTTTTTGTTGTTTATATACCCTTGATTTTATTATTTAGTTTGAAGTTTTAAATTAAACGCCATCTTCAATCTAATTTAATTAATAAAATGAAGTGGTACTGGACAAAATAAACACTAAATTAGGTACGAATTTTGTGTTAGACAGTCCATTTTCTAGGAAATCAAATCAGCGAGTGAAACCACATAGAAATACATACCTACCCCTGCTTATTCCTCCGAAAGGTAAGTGATATGTAACATGTTTCAGCACTTGGCAACACGTAGCGACATCTATTAGTAAAATAGGTAAACATTTTTTGCACTAAAAACCACATCCGATAACTCAATCTTATTATTTTTCTATACTAATCGCATGCAATGTTTTCATTATGTATTTATGACATTAACATTTTATAAAACTAATGTAGTCAAGTATTATTTTCGTTGAACTAAATGTTAAAATCTATTCTCAGGGCTAAATTATTCTTAAATAGGTATTCTCTCTAATATTGTGGTATTAAACTAGCAGACGAATCACCTGATGCAACACCAGAGGGTTAACACGCATTGCCGGTCTTTTCGGAGTTGTTAGGAATTAAGGATTTGGGATTTCGGGGATTGGGAGCTTGGGGGATTGAATTAAGGCAGAAGTCTCTGGCTCTTCTTCCTCTATACCCAAAGGAAGAATGGGCAGATACTGACCAGGACGAAATACAACGCAAGAGTTGTTTCAAGCCAGATTTCAGTGAGGCCGCACAGCCAGGCCCGGGGTCCACGAAAGCAGAGACAAGACAGGCTATATAGTTGAGAATTATCTCCTTTATCCTCAACTACAGTAAAGATTACATTTTTTTTTGTTCAGTACCTACACAGTTCACTCCTCACCTCTCCTCTCCCCTCCCCTCCTCTTTGGTGTATTCTGGACCTTCTACCCCCAAGTTGGTGATGGTTTTGTTTTATAAAGCCAGCCTAGCTATTTTTCGCAGACGGAGCCCTGACGGGCCGATGTTCAGTCGGGGTTGCGAGACAAACACAATAAGGCCGCGACCTCCGCCTAGAGTAGAAGAAGAAACAGGAGGATTTTAGTCACTAAGAGTCTGCACTCCCTCTCGTCTCCACCTAGGCGCGAGAAGTCCTTTGATGATTTTCCCCTCACAGAAATATTTTGTAGATTTTTATTTAGATACATGTTATAATTAAGTCTGCAAGATAAATTGTCAATGTTCACATTCTTCGAAGTAGTGACGTCAATGGGCACAGGAAAGTGCCTAACCGTACCAACTTTATTCTTTCCCTACATTGTATAATAAGTAATATAATATAATAATATAAGGTTCCCTTGTTATATTTATTATATGAATGGCAATATTAAAAAAATGTATATGTTAATCCGTTTTATAATTATTTAGGTACTCATATTAAAGTCAGTTGTTAAGGACTTAGTACTGTATTTATAAGTAGGTACCTAGATTGCCATAAAAGACACTATTGTAAAAAAAATAGCTCATGGTTATGAGATGTCTTGTGTTTTTCATTAATTAAAATGTTTATGAAATGCATCAGATTTATTTATCTTAACATTCAAAGTCAGCTAAATTGGTGGAGCATATTCATTCCTCACTTGAATACTAAAACTTAATAAACTGAAACTTATTAAAACACTTATTGCTCTTCATATGTGTACACAGTAATAATTTAGTAGATTGTCGATCAAACAAAAGCGAACTTACACGTATCTGACAGTAGCGCCATCTATCCATTGTCGCAAAGTAACCTGTCAGCCTGTCACCTACCATTTGTATAATCTACTTATAAAAACCAACATCTTTTTGTCAAAACCAACATATTCATCTATTTAATATAAAACTAAGCAAAATTTAAATTGTAGACGATATGAAATTAAGTAAATATTACTTAGTAATGGAAATAGAATTTTCATTTCTGCTTTAATGAATTTTCGTTAGAACATGTTGGTAAGATTAGAAAATGTTTACCTATGATGTAGATAATATACTTAACACTCCGCATTACATTATTTTTATAATTTCGCTCCAAATGCTTTCATTTCTTACTATACATACTATTTATCTCAGAATACTAACTAGTCACACTATAACATGACACTAGGTTTTCCTTTCAGTCACTGGGCAACCACGAGTTCGATGAAGCAGTGGACGGAGTCGTACCCTTCATTAGAAACTTGAGCGCACCCGTACTGGCAGCTAACCTCATCCTAGACAAAGTACCAGATCTTAAGAACGAAAAGAACCTACACAAGTCCATCGTTATTGTAAAAAATAATGTCAAAATTGGCATAATCGGATATCTTACGCCTTCAACGCAATTTCTTGCTCCTCGTAACAATGTAGAATACGAAGACGAAATCCCAGCAATAAGGCGAGAAGTGAAAAAACTCAAAGCGCAAAATGTTAACATTTTTATAGCTCTCGGACATTCCGGATTCTTAAAAGACTTGGACATTGCAAGAGAAGTCGAAGAACTCGATTTAGTAATCGGAGGGCACTCTCATACATTCCTTTGGAACGCTGCTAGCACTCCAGAGAAACCTGAAGTACCTGAAGGACCCTACCCTACAGAAGTGCAACAAGCAAACGGTAGAATCGTAAGAGTCGTGCAAGCATACGCTTACACTAAGTATATGGGAAAACTGCATTTAGTTTTCAACTCGGCAGGAGAAATCGTTAAATGTGACGGCGTTCCTATATTACTGAACCAAGAGATCTCGAGAGACCTGGAGCTTTTAAAAACTGTAAACAAGTATCATGCTGACATGGATCGCATAAACAGTGAACCTGTTGGAAGTTCATTAGTTTTACTTGATCAAACAAGATGTAGATTGCGAGAGTGCAATATAGGTGACATGATCGCTGATGCAATGTTAAACTTTACCAAAGAACAACATCATATGGAATATCCTGATGTAAACATAGCTATTATACAAGGAGGTCGAATAAGGACATCAATATACCATGAAGGCAAACCATTCACAATTACAAGAGGTGATTGTATAAACGTCTTGCCATTTTCAGACTCGTTGACTATAATAACAATGAATGGTGCTACATTGAAAGAGAGTCTGGAACATTCTGTATCAACATGGCGCACTATTGACAGTACTGGACAATTCCAACAATTTTCTGGAATGCAAGTCACTTACGACTTAGCTCAACCTGTAGGTTCCCGTGTTGTAAGGGCTAAAGCAGTTTGTTCCAACTGCGGATTCTACGACTTACAAGATATAAAAGACGAATATGAATACAAAGTGTTGATGCCAACATTCCTGGCTGAAGGAGGAGATGGTTATACCATGTTTATGAATCTTACAAAAGAACTACTTCCATATAACGAATTGGATACTGTTTTATACTATTTAGCTAATTACAGTCCTGTCGATACACATTTAGACGGTCGTATAACAATACTTAATGAAGACAAGAATAATAACTTTGAAAGCACTCCTTAAGAAGTGTGCAGTCAGGTGTATTGAATCGTACATAAATGAACCTCAAATACTTATTTGATGAGATGTCTACTTTTTTAAATATTTTGGGTATATTGTATCTCTATTAGTATAGGTTTTTTTTAATAAATAATATGGTTATTTCTTTTTTACATTTATACTATGTACTTGCATAATAACATGGGCTACGGGTAGGTATAGTTAGAAAATAATATAAAATGTCGATTTTATTGGAGTTTTTGAGATTTTAATTCGTTGCTTTTTTGAGATTTTTATGAACATGTTGAAATTTGAGATTAATTTATATTTTTTTAATACATTCCTTATTTTTTATGACTTTTGTGTGGCTTTATTAATTCCCACCTAAATTTCCCTCTCCTGAGTCTCCTTCTTAGTTTACCCACACCTAATTGTCAAGCGCGTAAGTAAAGAAGAAGTGTGTGCAATTGTGTTTCTATTTCACAAGACAACACCCTTATTAATTTAGAATACTATCTATATATCGATGATACGATACTCCAGATTCCAGATAAGACACATAGTTATAGGACATGCAAGTCAAAAAACTAAGATTGATTTAATGCCGACACCATTGACTGCCAACCAATGGTTATTATAAAAGATATGTATAATAGTCTCACAGTAGCTACTGCATCTGTGCTGAAACCATTTTTTTCTTTTTTGGGGTATAGACTCCCAAAAAGGCTGCAACTCCTGTAAGACAAGGTGTACCTGCAGTAGATACAATTATGAAAACACCAGAACACAAAAGTCAGGCATCGCAGGACACGAATCGGGATCTTGGATCTCACCGTGGATCTCACAACGAAATGAAACAAAAGATATCTAAATAGGTTACACCGCCCTCGGTGAATTTAATACAGCAGTAAGAAACTGAGAATGACTAAAGCGTTAAAGGCAAGAAAGAGACAACTGGGAGAGACCCAGTCGCCAAGCACTACGAAAACCTATGTATCTAAACCGATCCCAACGCTATATATTGAGCTTGAATCCAATCTAACCACAATAGTTTTGTTTCTTTGTGTTTTTGTTGTCAATTTCTGTCATAAAAAGCAGACTAACATTAGCGTGCATTTCTGCGGCATTGAGTTTTATTATATGAAATATATTCGTATACAATATCAAATTTACTGGTTTTATTTATCCTAATTATAACAACCCTTACCAATTCCCATGTTAGGTTTCTGCATAATAAATACTTATGATTAAAAAGTATTAATGATTCATTAAGATTTGGTAATTAGTGATTACATTTTTGTGCTGTTATAGTAGTAATTTAGTATTAGTCTTTTTGTAAAAATACCAAAACGCCCTCTAGCAATTTGGTTTTCAACCAACCAACACAGAACGCGTTTTAAACTTCAGTCTAATTTCAAAGACGCGTAATGGCGTAAAGATAAATTAAAGAAAAATATCGACAATACGAAATGCTCGTTACATGAACTTAGCAAAATATTAGGATTCCAAAAACATAAGAAAACCTGAAAAGTTGTTAGTTAATAAAAGTATCTTAAAATCGGACATGTTCCCGTTGACTAGAATTTTTCTATCGATGTACCTACCTACTCACAATTTGTCGTACGCTGACATTGTGTCACCAACCCAGAGGTTTGCCTCTACACTTACAACTTACAATTTAACATGACACTAGCTTTTTCTTACAGTCACTGGGCAACCACGAGTTCGATGAAGCAGTGGACGGAGTCGTACCTTTCATTAGAAACTTGAGCGCACCCGTACTGGCAGCTAACCTCATCCTAGACAAAGTACTAGATCTAGAGAACGAAAAGAATCTACACAAGTCCATCGTTATTGTAAAAAATAATGTCAAAATTGGCATAATCGGATATCTTACGCCTTCAACACAATATCTCGCTCCCCGTAACAATGTAGAATACGAAGATGAAATCCCAGCAATAAGACGAGAAGTGAAAAAGCTCAAAGCACAAAATGTAAACATTTTTATAGCTCTCGGACATTCCGGATTCTTAAAAGACTTGGACATTGCAAGAGAAGTTGAAGACCTCGATTTAGTAATCGGTGGTCACTCAAATACATTCCTTTGGAACGCTGCTAGCACTCCAGAGAAACCTGAAGTGCCTGAAGGACCCTACCCTACAGAAGTGCAACAAGCAAACGGTAGAATCGTAAGAGTCGTGCAAGCATACGCTTACACTAAGTATATGGGGAAACTGCATTTAGTTTTTGACTCGGCAGGAGAAATCGTTAAATGTGACGGCGTTCCTATATTATTGAACCAAGAGATCTCAAGGGACCCAGAGCTTTTAAAAACGGTAAACAAGTATCATGCTGACATGGATCGCATAAACAGTGAACCTGTTGGAAGTTCATTTGTTTTTCTAAATGAAGCAGGCTGTAGATTGAGAGAGTGTAATCTGGGAGACCTAATTGCCGACGCAATGTTAAACCATACCCGAGAGCAACATCACCAAGAGTATCCTGATGTAAACATAGCCATTGTACAAGGAGGTCGAATAAGGACCTCGATTTACCATGAAGGCAAACCATTCACCGTTACTAGGGGCGATTGGATAAATGTGTTGCCCTTTTCAGACTCGTTGACAATAATCACAATGAATGGTGCCACATTGAAAGAGAGTCTGGAACATTCTGTATCAACATGGCGCACTATTGACAGTACTGGACAATTCCAACAATTTTCTGGAATGCAAGTCACTTACGACTTAGCTCAACCTGTGGGTTCCCGTGTTGTCAGCGCTAAAGCAGTTTGTTCCAACTGCGGATTCTACGACTTACAAGATATAAAAGACGAATATGAATACAAAGTGATGATGCCTACATTCCTAGCTGAAGGGGGAGATGGTTATACCATGTTTATGAGTCTCCCAAGAAAATTCCTTCCATATAATGAATTGGATAGCGTATTATACTACTTGGCAAACTATAGCCCTGTAAATACGCATTTAGATGGTCGTATAACAATACTCAATGAAGATGAGATTAAAAACTCAGAAGGCAAACCAGAAAGAAGGTTGCATTCGAACGCAGTTCCAATTAAATGTAACTTTACATGGTTTTATGTACTTACAATTTTAGTTATATCTTTTAAATACTCATTTCAATAGATCTACCTTATAATAATTTATATTTTTAATTCTAAGTATAGTTTCAATCTTGAAACAATTTTGTTTATAATGAAAGAATTCTTACTATTAGTTATTTTCTCTATGATTAGATATTCCAGAAATAGATGTTTTTGTAGCATTCCTTCCATGACGTGATATGGTGAAATCATGGGGAAAACGGGAATATATCCTGCTAGCAATATAATAAAAATCGTTATAGTATTATATATTTATTATCTTTTTGTTTAATATTTGAAGTAGATAGGCAATCATGTGATAGATTTTTTTGTATAATAATTTATTTGGTAGTTTTTGTTAATTGTTTATGGCAATATCATACTTAATTGCTTGGCAACATTTATTTGATCTTACGTCAAGGTTGACCGTTAATATTTAAAAGTATTTTATATGCTGTTTTCATTGTTCAACTATAAAGTAACGTAGTTGCGATGCAAACAAAGTTTGATAATATTTTTACAGTGCATCACTCAGTTTATAAACGTTATAAAATAAATATATTTAAGCTTGACTACATACTCTAATCCATTCAGATTACTACCTCTTAGTACAATCGTATTAAAAATACGTGTAACCGCGATTGTTGTTTTGATAGCAAGTACATTTGAGTTGTTAATGTTTATATACTCGATTATTTATTATTACGTAAATAAATAAATATTGCATTTTAAAAACATTTATTCAGTTTAAACTGAACTTTATAGTAATGTAGTAAGCACCATTATTATTATTTTATTTTTGTTAAGGTAGGATGTTTGAAAATTGAAATGAGATTATAATTTGACACACATTTATTAGAAGAAAGTTGAATACAATTTTTGCACTTTAGGTGCCTATAAAATGTATACAGAGAGGGTATAATAATATAAAAAGTCACTTGTATCCATTATACAAGAAGGTAGGTTATATTATCAAAAATACAATAGGTACTTGTACCTAAAAAAAAAGTTAATACATATATATTTTAGGAAAGTAATACTTTCAAAAATAGAGGTATCTTTGCGTACAATGGATATTCAGAGACCTTTTTTCTTATAAGTACAGACACCAGAACATGAAACTGCTTTAGAATGTTGTGGTAGAGCTAAGAATCTGGCGTCTGTAGTCCGCTTTAAACTATATGACAGTTCGGCAAATTGCACGACCTGTTACTACTACTTTGTAATTAATTGTGTTAATAAATATCACAATTAATAGACAAAGTACCTAAACAAAACCAATGATACGCATTAGATATAACATTCGGACACAAGCAGCAAACTTCCGATCTGTTATGAAGTTTGTACAAAACCATGAAACATAGAAGTAAAGAGTATGTAAAAGTGTCGCCTAAATAATTAGGCGACACCATCCTGGTCAGAGTCCTGTGCTATTATATAATACAGAAAGAGGGCTACTGTTTTATGTTCACTAGATGGCGCTAATGTAAACTGAACATCTGACGTCTGAACGAAACATTAGCGCTAAGAAGAAAAATGTATATCTTAGATACGTTTTTATTTGAGGCAAATATAGTTTAGCTGCTGCTAAGGTACTGCTTTATCATGTATCGAAAAAGTACTGAACTCTTTACCAATATACTCCATGTTTGAGCTTATTTGAAACAGTTCGCATCCAATGTCTTATATAACCTGTGCCGATAAAGAATGGGATTAGAAATGGCGGCGCATCTATTCACTTCTCGCTCGCACATTATTTCCGTCTATACTCATACTCGTTGGTACCGACTGACAAAAGCATAAAAGAGAGACAGAGTTACTTACACATTTATAATATTAGTATGGATATTTGAGATTATTTAAAGTTATGAAGCGAAAACAATTTATATCCAACCTCTCCGCGATTCAGTTAATGGTTTTGTTGACAATTTGTGTAGGTACCTAGCTACGTAGTAGTCTCAAAACGATCACACATTTAAGTAACGTAAACTTTATTTGAATTCATGATATAACGAAACACTTTCAACGGTGACGATATTTTTTAACGTTATACTGTTATTAGTTAAATTTTTGTTATTGCATTTTTATGCTGACGCTCCCAGCTCAATGAGCCGCCATTTCGAATCCCATTCTTTATCGGCACAGGTAGTACTGTTTAATCATTTTCAAATCAGAAAGACATAAAGACACTATGGATAATTGTCCTTCCCTAAACAGTAAGACATTTGATGCGACTATTCCCAATTGTATACACATAAGAGATTATATTCCTTAATAATCACTGATTTTATAATCAAAATCATAAAACATAAATCGTAAATATAAGTGTTGGGGTATTTGACCATTTATTTCTTTAATAATTTTAGCAATGAATACATTAATCATGAATCTATGAATGGTCGTTAGAGTAATTATTTCTAGGTTATTATTATTATTTCAATCAGCTCGGTCAAATACCTCACATAGTATTGAAAATATTATCAAAGAAAGTACGACCAAAATACATTATGGCCATACCATTCCAATACTCTTACGGCCTAACTACAAAACACAAGGTTTTTCTAAAACATTGAGACTGTATTTCACATTGAAGGTAGGAGAGAATAACACCCGGTTTCTGAAAGGCTTGTCAACGCTAAAATCTCCTGTTAAATCTCTTGTCAAGTCATCTGATTGGTTGACTGAATTATCAACAACCAATCAGATGACTTGACAAGAGATTAAATTGATTTTAATATTGATCGGCCTTTCGGAAACCGGGCGTAAGATTCAAAGTAGAAAATCTGACTCAATGGTTTAATCCTAGACTAACGATAAATATTATCATGTCATAAAGGGTAACAGTCTAAGAACAGATTTGTTATATAGTATACCTACACACTTAGGCCATTTTTATAAATCAAATATTTTCTTTCGTCATATGAGCATGCCTGTACCAGTGTTAAAAAGAGACAGCAATAGCGTTGGTCCATTTCTCTAGCACTATTGACTTATGATGATTATTTGTATTAAGTATTTGTTTTTACCAAAAAATTTATTTCAATAATATTATAATTATTATGTTATTTGTAGTTAATAAATATATTATATAATTATGTGTATTACGTATGTTATTAAAGTATGACAAGACAATGAATTTAAATGTTTTTTTTTTTTAATTTGTTTTATGTGCCTTTTTAGAATAAATTATATGAAATATCAAAGATTAGTCTTATCCTTCCATCTCATTCTTTTCCATTCAAACACACAACTCTATCGATAGTACTTATTGTATTAGAACAAATAAGTACTCCTAACTTACTAGCTCTAAAAGAGCGTAACAGCACCAAAACCAAACATCTTAGATGTTAAACCTTACTACTAATCACATTAGACTCAATTTCCTTTCAAACAAGCCATGTTTTAAACCTGTTAGTCTTAAAAAACAACATAGGTAAATAAGAAAGTTTAGACTCAATATATTCAAGGACTTCAACAAATAATAAATAACTTTATGTTCAAAAAGATAAGGTTTAATATTGTTTACTCAAAAGGCACAAAGACATTATCCGGTGGTGGATAAATGCTATTGCATAAATTGCATGGATGCTTCTAATTTATTATGAGAGTAGTTAAGATATTTTGATTATTCATTAATACTAATATTAATAATGACAAAATAATATTGATTAATTTATTGCAATTTTTGATGTCTTGTCCATGTTAGCAATACTTAAAGAATAAAAACTCCATCATAAAGGGCTAAAGGGCCGACTGGAAGAATAAAACCTCTTTAAAACAGACCTTTTCCTATATAATAACAAATAAAAAAATCTATATGTTGAAGGTATAACAAAAATAGAATGTTAAAGACTTTCAGGTTGAAAACTTATGGCCTATATATAACCTATGGCCATTACAAAAATATTTTCAATATAATTTTTATAAATCAATAAATGGTTCCAAATCCCTTGTAGACTTGTTTTTCGTTTTCCTAAATATAATGTCAACCCTTATAGAAGGTACTTTTAATGGCACTAAAACACAAACATACCTATATGTTTGTATTAATATTTTATAAACTATGTTAGACTTGAATATTGCAAATATGAAGATCAGAAAACATTTTTATAGTGTGTAGACACAGATTTTTTATGAACTTGAATTTGTTTGTAACGTTTTTGTTGTTGTGCTACTTACTTTAAGAAATAATCAATAGACTTTTTTTAGCTTCAATTTAAAAATAAATTATGAATACTAATTAAATGTATGTTTTTATCGTTTAGGACATTTTATTAAATATGTAACTGACTCTTTGTTCACTTTTCTTGTATAAAAAATAATATTAACAAATGTCACTGCTACTATGGTACAGAAAATATACACAAGGGCTCAAGACGACATACAAATGCGGTTGTTGTTGGATATTTGCCAAGCCATAAAGTGAAGGTATAAAAAAAAATTTGCGCGATATTGAAAATATTTCGCTATGCAATATTAAAAGTTAATCAACACACTATAACCAACATTTTTTGATCAACAGAAAACACACAAAACACTTATCTTAAATACGAAATCAGCCACTAAATGGCATGGTTATAACAAAACAAAACTCTATTAATCATTTATGTAATATAATTATACTGTTTTCAAAATAATATCTATTTACAGCAAATATTACATTTCAAGTACAATGAATGACAACAGATGGCACTACTGTGTCAAAAATACAATATTTTAAACCAAAATAACACTGCAGCATATTCAATTTATATTGAGATAATCAACTTGTAAACTAATTCGCCAGCACTATAAAAATACTGTAGTAACAAAAGTGTATACATATAATATAAAAAAAATCACCTAAAGAATAACAGAACATAACAGTTTCTTTTTCCAAATTCAAAATACTTTTACTGATATTTTTCATACCCTTTCCTAGCCTTGAGGCTTTTCTCTAATATCACAAAATGTGATACAAAATCCCTGTTACTTCACTAGTCTTCTGATTTCGTTTATATCAAAATTACACACTTAGAACTTATCCTAAAATACTTTAAGAGACTAGAATCTTCAGATTCACAATTAGATTTTTATTCAGAGAAAAAAAAATCTAATTGCAAAAGATTTTTTTTCCAAAATTTGCGCGAAAGTTTTGAACAAATTTAATATGAGTAATACAAATTATATCTTATGGAGACTATTACATGTACAATACTCTTAAAAAATTATAATACCGTGTTCAGTAATTATATACTAATCAGTAATATTAAATTATATAAACTTCAAATTAACAAATCAAACCACTTTAGCTGGATAGTCAGAATTTTTGTAATACTATCAAAGAAGTATAGTGCAAGAAAAGATGAAAACTTTTATTAATAAACTGTCCTGATTCCTTTTAACTTGAGGAACTTACACAATCACCATTTATAAGAAACCCTATAACTAGAAAGGGCTCCAGCCAATTAAACACACACAAAAAACAATCAACAAACAATATAAACAAAATCAAATCGCTTAGCACAACATCAGAAAAGAACAAGAGATACATAAAGTATCGTATAAAATATATAAGCAAAACAGTCATTTACCTTGAAAGATCAAGTGCACCTTCTCCGGTGTAGAATCTACAATTTTGTGTCGGCAACACAGCAGGAGGTATGTCAAAATCAATAACTTTTGTAAAATCAAAGGGGAGAACGCCTGCAAGTATCTGAAGACACTGCTTCAGCATCTCCTGACAATCGGCTGCTTCTTTACAAGGGACAAAAGGTTCCAGAGCTGTGGCCAACTTACACAAAGGCTTGAACTCCTTCAGAGCACGTTTCTTGTCAGCTTTTTGAAGACATTTAATCACCTCCGCACCCAAATGCTTGTTTATCATCTGTATGACTTCTCCGGGTAAGTTCGGCGCAGATGGCAACTGATAATATTTAGGCCAGTCGTCGACGCAAGCTTCGCATATGCAACTGAATTTGTACTGAGAAAGTAGGATTGCCTGTCTGGTCTGTCTGCTATTTACCGCATGATGAGCCCTGGAAATACAAATAAATCGTATTAGAATATTTTTAAAATTGCACAAATAAACGAATTCATAATCTTATTGAGAAATATTCTTGTTGGAGATAAACCTGATCGTATTCAATTATAAATCAAATTCCAGTTGTGAGTTGAATTATTAAATTTCTAAAATAATTACGCCGTACTCAGAGTCGCTTAATGATAACATAATCCAGTCCTTAGCAATTGTTATCGGGGCAAGATTGTTACTAAGGAATATTTACTGAGTAATCATTAAGTATCTCTGGAGTACAGCATATAGGCAAATAAAAAAGCTTCTAAAAATCTCTACTTTTGCTCCACATCATCGTACTCTGTTGCATGCACGATACGCAGGCCAATTTCACTTGCTTCCAATTCCACAATAAGTCTAGACGTCATCTGCTCTTCATCACGGACCAGCTCGAAGCACCTAGGTTTAATTACACAAGTGTTGCAGTATTAGTAAGCATGGCATTTATATTTTTCGTGTTAATTAATATGTTACAGCAACATGCAACGCTTTGTGTTAATAAGTTACAAGTAAAAACCATGCACATATGTTTTTATAGCAGAAATCGATTTAATTCAATATTTATGACCCACTAATTAAAAAAAAACAGAATATTGAAATATATTTTGAAAATTCTTTTGAAAATAACAAATTACTTCCGTGAATTAACTGAGAATCTTGTTATATTAATCTTAACTCACCTAAGTGAAGATTGTTAGTGAGAAGTTAAGAGAGACATATCTTATTGAATTAAATAATGTTCAATAAGGTATGTCTTGTGATCAGTGATCGGAGTAGGTAGATTGAAATGGTGTCATTGATCCGAAACATATATATTAATATGGACATTCCTCCGGAATTGGTGGTATTTTACAAAAAAAAACGGAGCTTATGTAGGAATTATATTCTGCCAGAGTGAAAGGAGTCATTTGATGATTATTCATCCTCAAAAAAAAATTTTGGAATTGTAATAAAATTTTCAAATTCTTTATTCTACCCCTTTTTTTATCCTAAAATTTGACTAAAATCAACCTGTTCCTTCGTATGCCCTTTACGTTTCAGAGTCACAGTTTCACGTGGTGCATCCTTAGAACAGTCTCACGACCTCAGCAGGCATAGACCCTCTATGGGGCCAATTTATTCTACGCTTAATGCAAATTACCATGACAAAAAAAAATTAAGTGCAACAATTTATGTCTACCATAAAAGTTCTAGCCATAAAAGGCTAAAAAAAAATTGAAGCTTTGATCGGAATTCGATTGTTTTTATTATTAAACAGATAAATAATTAATAAATTTAGTTTTGATACCTTCCTTTAAATTTTGATTTGAGTAGGAATAATATCACTACCAACATTAACAATATTTAATTGAATCCGGAAATGCAGGAATTCCTTTCCGGGAAAATGGCTTATCCATGTTATTCTTTCTGTGTGCATTTATGATACCAGTACCAAAAATCAATCTACCTACTCCGATCACTGCTTATGATGGTTACTATACAAAAATAAATTATAACCAAGTAAGACTTACCCATAATTGTCAAATAGCTGTGACCCTTTTTTGATTGGTCTAATGGCAATCAAAGTGATACATGAGGTGCCCAATTTGGTGTAACGTACCACATTTGGTGCACACGAATGATTAATCAGACTTAAAAATGCATAAGCTCCACTTGCTATGCCATACTCTTCTTCAAAACTTCCTTCATCATTTTCTACGTTAGTAGATATGCCATGCATGTTAGTAGGCCCGGTCATAAGATGACGGAGCATATTATCAGCAACAAATGATTTAAGTTTTTTGCGTTCTTCATCATCCTCTGTTCTGATGAAATTTGTCACAGCCAAGATATGCATAAGAACAGCAGCACTGACACATTTTTGGAAGATATCTGATATGTCCCGTTTGGAAACATTTGTGGCTAAAGTATGTATAGATGAGTAATATTTAGAAGAATAAATCTTCTTGCCCTCTACTTCCTGGCATCCTAGATCTTCCATATTGGGACACGAGTCTGCTTCAGACAGAGTCTTCAATAAAGCATTAGTACTTGTGTGACCTGTCTTAGCTAGAATTGTGGTTCGCAGAGCAAGCAGTTCCAATTTAGTAAAATTTGCTTTGTATAAACATGCTACTATAGGACATTCATATTTATGGTATTGATCCCAAGCTTTAGTGCGACAATCCTCATTGCAGTACATGGTAACTACACAATATGGACAGGGTTTTAAATTATATGTCCTAGAAAAACATTTAGCGCAAGAGATAGTGTACTGTGACTTTAGTAGCACTTGGACAAATGGATCTTCTTGGACTAGTACTTCACCTACTTCAATATCTTCATTGGCAAGTACATGTCTACCTAATTCTGGTGTATATTTCACTGTGAGTTTAGAGCTTGCATCAATGTATTTTTCATGTTTGGGCACCTTTAAACTGAAGATGTCATCAATAAGTTTGTCCTCATCTTCACCATTAGATGTAGGTTGTTCTTTTAATGCATCCTCACATATTTTCTTCCTCTTTAATAACTTATCCCGTATTGAATCTGGATATGAATGTTGAAATACAGTTTCTATATCTGATAAGCATTCTTCATATTTTTTCCAGGCTGCTAATACTGCTGATCTATTAGCCAAGGCCAAGACATAACAGTCACATGGTGTATGAGGCAAAGGAGCATACATCAATGCTAAATTATAATGTTGCCAGGCCATGGACAAATGCTTACGTTGATATAAAGTGTTGCCAAGGTTACGGTAATGATCAGACTTCTGAGGGCACTTGTCTTCTTTAATAACAAGTGGTATAAGATCATATTCTTTTAAGATCTCATACACATACAGTACTTTCTTCTCATTACTGTTCAAATTCATAAGTTCATGTGAAACCCTTCTAATCTTTCTATCATTTGTTAAATGTTCTAGTATGTGTTTGTAAATAAAATCAATAGTTAGGTTGATATGCTCTAAAGGAAACATTATTGATTATTTCAGTGTTTCATTAACTTTCCTTATAGAAAGTAGTATTGTGGCAATGTCACACTACGCGACTCCCTTTATAGCTATCAATTTAGGCTGTGAAATGGTTTTTGTTGTGGACCAGCGCTTAAAAGCGCAGAATATTTCCCTGGACAAGTCTGAAAAAGGTGAGTTTTAAGTGTTTACTATTTATAACCTAAGAAACGAAACTATTTTTATAAAGAGTGTGTACCTATAGGCAAATTTTAATTGAAAAACCTTTGAATTTGTTTAATTTCAGTACTCACCGATGTAGTGACTGTACTATTTCACCCTAAACTGCTAGATGAGTTATTTACACCACAACCGGTAGCCAGTCACACTCTTCTAAGACAACTACTTCAAGATATATCCGCCTCCTCAATAATGAAACTAGATGATTATTCAATGAGCAAGCTATGGGATCTTATGACGATGATCTTCAAATGGCAATTGTCTGTAGCGACGAATCAAAATATTTTCGACATCACCCGCCGCCATCTGCGTAGTGTGGCCATGCTAATGCCAGTATTTTTCCCCAAATGCATTATTGAACAAGTTATGAGAAGATTTGAAAATTTAGCTCATCAATTTACTGACGATGACTATAGAGATCTAAGCAATACGCTTTTAGTCTGGTTTTCAGAATATCATGCTAAAATATCTGTGCTTTTAAGATTGGGTTTACAAAGAAAAGATGGTTCGTTTTACTTACCATCTACGATAAGTACAAACATATTGCATAATGTTGGTGAAAATATTTATAAATACGACAATAAAAAGAATCCTATTGAAGACTTTGAAAGCCGAAGTGCCGATACGAGTGAAATTAACTGTCTCTTAGCAACAATTGAAAAAGTTCATTCTAAAAATAAAATTGAGTTGCAATTACCCATTGAATTCGGAGATACAAGTTCAAGAAAGAAAACTTTGGAAATCCCTAGGGATATTCAGTTCGAAACTATTGATACAAATGTAAAAATAAATAACGCAGACCTGACATTCATTCCTGACATTCCCAAGTCACCTCAAGAAGACCTGTTAGAAATGTTGGAAGGACCTGAGGATTCTATATTCTAGATATCATGACATAAATCCATCTTCCCGATAAAACCGGAAACTATAATACATAAGGCTGGCAACACAGACTAGTGGTGTAGTAGTAGAGTGTATTTTTGGTGGTAATGTTTACATACTTACCTAAGTAGGTATTGCTAACATTTTCCCCTGTTATTCTATATATATTCATAAATAAAATTATAAGTCTGATTTTATTTGATTTAAACAAATTCCGGGGGAAATAAAAATATCTTCCAGGTTTAAAAAAGTTTTCTAACATAAATAACTTAGTACTGTTGTATAGAACTTAGAGGCTTGTAGATATTCAGGAGGCTATAGTTCGCCCAATGTCGCCTATGCCTATGCCAAATGGTAAGCCTCATTCCGCTAGACTAAATAAACTCTAAAAACGGTAGAATATCTATCTTGTATTGTAAAAGTTTTTAATTTACCAAGAGTGGAAATTAAGTTGAAGGCACGATTTTTTTTTGTGAGGGGAATATCATCAAATGTCTTGGGAGGGAGTGTCAGACTCTTACTGACTAAAAACCCCCCTGTTCCTTCTCCTGCTCTGGGCCGAGGTAGCGGTGCCTCATTGCGCAAGTTGAAGGCACGGTTGGCGCGATTTTGTAACTATGTATACGTACTTAGTAGATGCATTGTAATGTATGTTGGTGGCATCTGTTATTATTATTTGTCTTCAATCAATCTCATCATTAGCCTGTAAGTGCCTATAACTGGGCAAAGGTGACTATCACGAAGGTTATTATAGCATCCATCAATAAAATAAAAAAAGAACATACTAAGTTTATAAAAATACTTTATTTCACACATCACAAGCTCTGAAACCCCATACCGTGTACAGGTACAAACACATCTTTTTAGTTTTCAATAAGTATTCAAACAAAATTGACTTTTAATAAAATGACTTAGAATTCATTATAACAAAAACATGTGTTTGTATTTACAATACGTAACAAAAATGTTAATTGCATTGAAATGCGAATACAATCATATAAAACTACTAAGTCTAGTTCTTTGAGATCTTATTTACAAATTGTATTTACATTTCTTTTTTATACCTAATTATCACTACTTTAAGAAAGCTGAAGAAATGCGATTATGTTGTAAAGTAATAATAAAAATGTAGACATTAATGTCTATCGTCAATTATTCTGTTTTTGTACAATAACTATTTTGAAATATGTATACTAAATTAATCAAAACATACGGGTTACTCTCGAAGACTAAAGGCAGAAAGCTCTACTAGTTTCAAGCCACACCGGAACTCATATTCATGAGCAGCGTGTTTGTCATCCTACCGTACATTTCAATTAAGTCATTTACTAAAAATGATCACTTACTCACATGAAATTCATAAATGAGAAAAGCTCTGCTAAGTAAGCTACTCATGTCAAAAAGTCAAAAGTCAAAAATAATTAATTCCGATTAGACCCTTACAGGCACTTTTGAACGTCAAAATTATAATAAGAAGAACGTCATGAGTAAGAGTCTCGTTGTGACTTGAAACTAGAAGAGTTCTCAGTTATTTCACGTGATTAAGTCGATATTTTCAGTAAATTGAGTGTATCTCTCGATAGTTTCTATTCAAAAATTAAGTCATTGTGTACCTTCCCTAATTAAGTGTAAAAAGAATCAACGAACCTCTTTGGCACACATATTTTTTTGGCCATTTTGTTTTGACTGCCAGCAACTAAACGAAAGCACATAAATTATAAAAGACATGCTTAGGAATGACATTTGTTCTGCTGGAATCAGATCCTTTATGAAAAAAGTTCGTTAGACTTGACCGATCGATAGATTTATTATACTTAATTCTTTTAATAAGTATCGACCGACAAAGGCCTATTGAGTACCTACACCAAAAACACATAATATCATAACCAATCAACGATCAAATATTTTGTCGCAAAACTAATCCAACCAATTACAAAAACAAAACAAACAATGATACTTTGGTATCTTTTTTTTAAATAACGATTTTTATGTCAATTTTGAAATTCGATTACTTTATCTTAATTTTAATTAATTATTATGTAGAAACACATTTTTATCAATAAAAGCTAATACAAATATATTGTGTTTTCTTTATTTAAAATATTTGCTGCTTATCTTTCTTATATATAAAAATTAATTGCTGTTCGTTAGTCTAGCTACAACTCGAGAACAGCGAGTCCAATTTGGATAATTCTAGTCTTCAAATATTTGTAGAAGACCAGGGAAGGTTTAAAAAGACAGAAGGAATTAGATTATTGCGGCACGGAATTTGCCGGGTCTACTTGTTATATAAATATGAAAATGTCAATATTTAACTAGAAAAAAAATATAACTTGGATTTGGTGATACTGGAGATGTTTTTGAACATGTTGCACAGAATAAGTTCTATAATATAATCTCAGAATACAGAACAAACCAGAAGCCGCGTTCACTCATTTTTGCATGTTGTCTAATGTGTCCAAAAACAATACGTCAGTCCCCCCGCCAGCCACACTTCCCACCCGCGTAGTGTTGCCGACAGTGGAACAATTCCCTTGGTTTGGGGTAATTTTACTAAAGGGGGGTAAGATATATTTTTTGGGAAAACCCAAAAAAAATATAGGAAAACTTACAATAATTGCAACAGACTAGTTGTTTACACATTTCATGCAGGTATCATAAAAGTTGACGATTTCTGGCTGTGTTCATTTTAGTTACACCGACTATCTATACACAACGTGTATAGTAAATGTGTTTTTTTTTCATTTTAATTTTAGTAAATGTGTTTTTTATCCATTTTAAAACTAATATGACAAAGGTTCCACAATGGACAACAATATAACTCACAACAAATAAATAAGTGGGTAAATTTTACACCAAAAATGACAACACTCACAAAATGGCCGCATCATTGTCATAGAAAAATAAATCGTTAAAAGAAAATCAATAATTAATTAAATATACTATTGCAGTCGATGCTTACACATGAAATGTAATCTTATCCACTTTTTTCGTAATTCCAGCTCTATTTTTACTCGTAATAATAACACAAGACTGCGTAATGGAATTAAAATTGATACTCGTAAATACGTCACGACATGCCACGTGCCAAAATTGACTGATCGTAGAAATTTCATACTACTCTGGCTAAGAGTGGTTTTAGTGGCTTTAATACGAAGCGCGTTGCCGCCTTCTGGTTTGTTCTGTATTCTGAGAATATAATACATGCCATATTGTTACTTACAGATAGATAGACAAGCTTGTCACTATTACTATTTTTCTTAATGCCAAGAAAACAAACCATGTTATACCCATAAAACAATTCATAGTTTAGACATGTACATTGAAATGTAATTTTCCATTAATTTATTGAAAAAATTACAAGTATTGGCCTATTTCTACAACATCTCATTAAGTTGCTGTTTGCTTAACTGGCAAATTTCGTTTGGAATATAAAAAAAATCTGTCGGCAAACTAGCAAAAAGGTTACAGGTATTGTCGAATAATGACACCTACTTTTTAATACTAAAAACAATCGGATAAATGTGCACAAAGACAAAAGTTTGTAGTTTGCCAACAATATTATTTAGTTTATTGATTTAGTCATAGTAAAAATTATCCTTTTTCATGAGCTAATTTACGAAAGAGGTTTCATCAGCCGACGCCATTATTGAATCTGACATTGCAACATGACCTGAATATAATAAAGTTCAAATGTATGATGCAATCATTATTTTGAAGTAACAATAGTATGTAAATATTAATCAACACAACGGATCTTTTTGTCCATAACCATAAACATTGAATAACAACAAAAGAAAATTGGAGCATTGGATGTACGTCGCACGCAGGCCAAATTAGACATAAACAGAGTTTATTACATAAGCATTAAAGGTGAATTTCGCAAATCAAGTTATTTAGATAAGATTATGAATAGATCTTTGTGTAAATATGCCTGATTAAGCGTTTGGTCAATTTATATAAGTACCAACAATGTTCAAAGCTATCAACTAGTACAACATTGTAAGTAACTTGTCAAGCATTACAATGGCTTTGCAGATTAATTTTTATTGTAGATTGTGTTATAAATTACAGTTTGTTTAGAAAACTTGGGTAAACAATTATTCAAATTAAAATCGACTGGTCATACTGCAATATGTAGTTTTAGATAGGAAAAGATTTCAACTATGGTGCTAGGTATCATATCAAGCAGGGATTTACTGCCTAATAGTTGCGTGTTGAAAATTTGTACCTATACTAATTCGCCTTCAAACTTTCTCTTAACAACATTATATTTACGCGGGTATTAACGCGGAAAATTATAATTTGAATACCTTGGTAGGCTTGACGTTTCGACCCGGTTGCACAGGTCGTGGTCACAAGCAGACAGTCTGCAACGCGAAAGTCTGAAACGCGAAAGTTTAAAAACTTTCTCTTGTTTTGAGACAAAGCCGCCATTATAACACAGAATTGCTGCAATTCTTGTAATAGTCTGAGGCTTCCTAGGGACATGAACTTCTTCTAGAACAACATGTCATAGGACATGATCCCGCAACGAAATAAATCAGTAGACATTTGTTGGGACTATCTTGATATATGGACGCTACAGAGGAAAGGTGTTCTTATCGCTAACAAAATTAGTAATAACTGTTCTACAAAATTACTTGTTTAAACATAGTAGAACAATGTTTGTAATAATCCTTATTTCACATGAAAATGTCTGTTATAAAACAATTTCTAGCAATTTATTCTCCATTATTAATACTATTTGCTTGAAACTCGATTTACAAATGACATTACAGACAGACTTATATTACGACTATGTCTAAAGTAAACTCAATGAGACGAGACAATAAAGTTGATTTTCCATTGACACAGTAGACCTTGGAGCTAGGATGTTAATAAGTAACATAGTTAGCGGCTTATCGGCGTCTAGTCTCATTGTTTTACTACACAAGCATACGAACATACTTACCACAGATAGATTAAAGGTCTTGACTCATATAGAACCTTGAAGCAAGGCTCAGATACCGGTTAAATTTTCAGATTGCTATAATAGAGGTTACGGTACTTGTCGCAAAACCTTTACGTTTAGAGCATTAAAAACCGGTTTATACGAACGCATTGTATAGAAATGCCGCCGTGCATATTGTATTATATTCGTCAGCTTTCTACCCATGTTAACCACAATTAAGTCGCTCATCGAATAAACCACTTAATTAAGGTTTTAAACGGATAGGTCGGCAAACGAACAGACGGATTACCCGATGGTAAGTAATCAGCGCCGCCGATGGACACTCGCAACGGAGGAGTTACGAGTGCGTTGCCGACCTTTTAGGGATTGGGGTTTTGGAGATTTAGGGATTGGGAGAGATCGGGGGAGGGGAAGGATTTGGCCTCCAGTAATCTCACTCACACGGCACCAGTATTGACCTGTATTTTTAAACCGGTTCTGAGCCTTACCTTGTATTCGAAGAAATGGTCGAAAACAACATCATTTAAAAAGTCTCACAACCATCCTTATTAACGACACCATTTATAGTTCAAATTTACACATTACACCGATACGGCGAAACAAATATCCTTAACCAGATTCAAAAAGAACCGACGGGCTAGTCGGATATTATAGTCAATTATTACTATAGACAACATTATAAAATAGATAATAAAAAGAAAAGAAACAATTAAGTAAGTATCAAATAGTGAAGCTAACCTTCTTGAAGGACAGAGGTAGTAATTATTTAAAAGTAGCTTAGATTTTTAGTCAAAAGCAACAGAATTATTATAAGTACTTTTTAATTCCATGGCAATTAGGCAAGTAATGACACCTATAATCAAACTGTGACTTTTTCATTACTATTATTCACGAGTAATCGAGTTTATTTTATTATTGGTTGAGTTACGCTTACATTTGGGTTAAAAAGCCCAAAAAAAGAACACCAATTTTTTGGTCTATGGCTGATGCGCGCGCATAGGAAAACTGATTAATTTTTCCCGCCATTACGAAACATTTTCCACAATCCATCTCGTTTCCTCTTTTGAAATTTTTAAAGTATTATTATATTCGGAAGTGTGTTGTGAACGTCGTATGATACACGTGTGTATTGATAATTACCGTCTTCGGCTCCTTAAGACCCTCGCCTGACGGCTCAGGCCTCAATGCGCCACCGTAATCGCCAACATTACACATTGGTACCATAATCTACAATAATCTTTAGTCAAAAGTAACAGAATTATAATATATCCCTTTACATAGAAAACGGTGTAAAAAACCGACGTACATAATGTCCTAGCCCGCGTCTTTGCCTTGGTACCCTATCTCTTCGCAGCTGCTATAGGAACATTGAATTTCTCGTCGAGTTTGGAGAGAAGCTCTGTTCTGGTAGCATGCTTGCGTCACCGTAGACGGGCGCCGTCGGCCCACTGGACGCGTAGGGACTGCGAGACCATGTCCGCGATCGATTCAATATTGGCGTTGATTGATCTGGAGGTAGAATGGTCTCATTCGGGTCTGTCGGCATCCTTATCGGGGCTTTCCTTTGCATTCTTTGTTGTACTGTGAAAGAAAAATGGTTGAATTAGTTTGAGTAACAGATTTTGTAACTTGTAAATTTGCCTAGAGGTGAAACACATTATTTCAGTGGGATAAAGTAGGTTTTTTTGGATAATCATCAAATGAAGTCATTTATTTTATGACTTTCCCACATTTGATTATTGATACAAATGACTTAATTTGTTGATTTTCCTTCCTCTCTCTCTCTCTCGGTTTATGGCGACAAGTAGTGTCAAACTCTTAATGACTAAAAGACCCCTTTTCTTCTCCTGCTTTAAGCCGAGGCCGCGTTACCTGATAGCGCTTGACAAGCGAATTTAAACATACCAATTGCGACTACAATGTCAAAATAAATCACAAGAAAATCTAAAACTTACTATAGAGATAAGCAGCGGCGGCCGCAGCGACGGTGACAATGGTAGACATGTAGGGCTTCAGCAATGAGAACAGGGCTCCCAGTACAGTGCCGCAGGCCACGTCGCACTCCCGTTGCACGTCCACCCTTAGCTCCTGAGACGTCAGCTTCGACCGAACTGTTACCCAGCCATGACCACACGTTGAAGCTTCGTTTGTCACTATAACTATTATTTCACCTGTATAATAAAATATTGTAAGTTATTCCTTTATACAAATTAAAATTAAGGAAAATTTGGTTGGTACTCAGTACCGACGTCAAAATTTAGTAATATACTATGTATTAGATAAACTTACCTATATACATGGCAGACAGTATACAAGTAACGTTCTATATTCAAATTTATTTGGTGCATATCTATCCAGACTTTGTAAACATAGGAAAAGCAATTGTGCATTTAAATTTAGGCTTTATTTAGTAGAATTTATTTTCCCACCAACAGATCAAAATCTATAAAACCGCAAGTAAGCTCGATATTAACTTTCCTTATAGCTGGACAGTTTACAGTGAGACGAACTTTTATAATCAGTCATAGAAACACTCACCATTTTCCGTATTCGTTTCTAACTTCAGACCAGGCGACGGCGTCAACCTGACTAACTTCAGAGCGTGTGAATGACCCATCACGGTGAACGTAGCCGGCGGGTTGAGTAGCGATACTTTGTTGGTCGACACTCGTATCTGAGGTAATAATAACGTTTTCGTACAAGCTCTGTATGTGCCCCAGTCGGCACATAACTCTACTTCTGCAGGTTCCGTGACTGTTGATGCTGGGATTATCTTGCAGCCCATTTGTCCTGGAAAATAGCAGAATTTTAAACAAAGTTACATAAATACATAAAGCAGAAGTCAAGTCAGAAATTTCAACTCAATCGAAACCAAATTACTTGCAACATTTTATTACACAGTCAGGCATCTAGAATGATGTAATGAACATTTATAATCTGATTAAGAACAACGGAAATATGTACGGGAATAAGTGTAAAGGCAAGTTCAATAATTTTAAAATAAGCCAAACCAGATATAACTAGTCAAATAGTCAGTCCTGAGCAATTTCACTTTCCGCTCTAATCCTTTTGGCCACAGCGTGATATTTTATAGCCTATAACCATCTTCAATAAATGAATTATCCGAAAAAAAACTAATTGTTCAAGTAAACAAACAAGTGAACAAAAAACTCTTTTCTTTACAATGCTAAGTAAATAAAAAGTATAAATTATGATATAGTTAAGTGAACCTTACCATTAATAACATCAATAACAGGTTCAGCAGTATGCGGTGCCTTAGTCCGGCAGTTGTAAGGTAGTTCTATGGGTGTGCCTTCCAGTGCATATCTCTGCTCCTCAGTACACAGGAGCGGGCCCGATGATAGACCTGATGCCGTGAACGAGAGTGGAACTAATTCTGATGCCCATTCGCCGGGGAGGAACTCCATCTGGATAAAAATATGTAAGAATTTATTAGATTGTCTGCGTCAAATATTAATGATTGTTATTAAAGTAAAACAAATTTGCACTAGCCATATAAATAACCTGACGATATCTACGTTTCTTATAAGCTGCTAAATCTACAATACTCTAATCCCCAAAACTTCGACAACGCACTCGTAACTCCTCTGTTATTGCGGGTGTTCTTGGGCGGAGCTGTTTGCTTACCATCAGGTTCGTTTGCCGTCTTATCACATACCGTATTAGCTAAGTAATATATATTTGTATTTAAAAACAGATGGGTTTAAAGCGATAACTCGACTAAAATACGCAAATCAATAATTTATAGTCTCACTCAGGAAAATTGTAGATTTTATCAGTAAAAGCTTTTGGAAACTACATACTAACTTATTAATTTTACTTATTTATAATAGAAAAGATATTATAAAATAATATGTATAAAATATATAAAAGTAAGTCGCATTCGTTACATATTTATAATTCAAGAATGGCTGAACCGATTTAGCTGAAAATTTTTAGGGAAGTAGCTAAGGACTGGGAGAAGGACATAATTATGATAGGGTAAAGTAGGGTAAGGTAGGATAAGGTAAGGTAGGTACCCCGTCGGGGGGATGCGACGAATGCTTCGGCGATACTCGCCCCTCCAACACATGTGTAGATGGAGGAACACCGGGTAGGTTTTAAGTCAGTAAGAGTCTGACAGTACCCTTCGCCCTTCCCCGAGGGCGGTGGGTCTCCATGAAGATTTTCCCGATACAAAAAAAGGTAAGGTAGGGTAGGTAGGTTAAGGGATGACGGGACCGAATCAGCGGGTAAAAACTGCTAAAAATTAGTATAGAAAAAACGCGGTAGTATACCTTGTCGAGCTGCAGTTGATGCAGCGTGTAGAGAGCGTGGGGCCGGTCCCGGCGCAGCACATGCGTGGCGGGGGCGGGGCGCGCCAGCACGGCCAGCGACACGCCGCCGCCGCTGTACAGCGCCACGCCGCCCGCCCCGCGCCAACCAGAGCCCTCCACGCACACGCCCCAACCGCCCGTCGCTGGAATAAAGGTTGGTTATGACAATCGGGTACTTTATTCAGACAAAATTAATTATTTCGACTTTCTATTGCAATAAAAATGTTGAAAGAAAAAAATAAAGTTTGACACCAAACATGACAACACAAAGATATGTACAATAATTAAGAAAAAAAAATTTATAACAATGCAGCCATAAAAAAAGTAACAAAAACAACAATGCAACAATGTTGAGTTAAAACTTAAAATAATACATAAAACACAAAATAATATAAAAAAGTACTTAAAAGAACAACTCGTTCTTTGGTTGATTTTACGATATACTTAACACTCATATTTTTCTAGATTATTATACAAAAAATAAGTATTTGATTTGTTTATAATGATGTTACAATACACATTCCTATAAAAAATTAAAGAAAATTAACTAGTAATAAATAACGAAAGTGTGTGATACCACGGCCTCACAGAAAACCGGCGTGAAACAACCACAGCTTTGTGTTTCGCCATGTCACTGCAGTTACCAGAAGCCCCTCACCTAATCGCTTAATCTCCAAATCCCTGATCCCCAAAAGGTCGACAACGCACTCGTAACTCTTATGTTGTGGCGGATGTCCATGGGCGGCGCTAATTGCGTACCATCATTGGTGATCCGCCTGATCGTTTGCCGTCCTATCACATAAAAAACTAAAAGTGCCTTGAAATTTTGCACAAACATTTTCTGAGTGTATATTTTGTTTCTTAAAAAAAACGTACCCCCATACTAGAATTTTCTCCTGTGTCGTAGGTGCAGTTACAAACATTTTCACGTGCACATATATAACACCCAGACCCTATACAACAATTTGTGGAACACACAAAGAGTTGTTCCGTGCGGGAATCGAACCCGCGACACGTTGCACTGCAGCTGGTTGCCCAGCCACCGCGCCAACCGTGCAGTCCATATGAAAAGACATAAGTAGCTAATTCAAGCGATGTTAACGATGAATTTATTTTTGTAAATAGGCCGTAAAACTGCACTTTTACACGTCCAAATTATCGTAAAAAACTAGATGAAGCCGGCATTTCTTATCTGACTACTGAGAAGAAATATTGAAACAAACTCGAAGGTCCGTCTCTTTTCAAGTCCAGACAATATGAAAAATAATATAATGTGTGAGAACCGTGCAAATTCATTCCGTAGTGGTCTTTTGAGGAAAGAACCACACCAGTTTAAGTAGGCTCGTTCTAAAGAAAGTGTCAATTTACAACCATTTAAACTATCCAAAATGACTTGGCTAATGTTTGTCAGTCTTAATATATCGTACAACTTACCAACAACTCGGTCAGCTTTCACATCCGTTCCGGTGACCAAAACTTCGTCCTTCACAGTGACACCACTTACAGTTCCTTGGAACGTCATGAAGGCGCCCGTAGCATCCAAATCTGGTATTACCAGCTCTGGGCCGTGGACACTGGGGAACATAAATATATTATTAGAACCAAGCTCATTACAATTCTTATAGTTTACAATAAAATTAAGAACAAAAATTGTATTAAAAGTTTGTTGAAAATTATTTTTGACAGTAGTCTTATAGGATCTTTTGTTAATTAAAGACTAGCGGACTGGCACGTGTTTCGCTACGTAATAAATGAATAGCTAGACCGACTTTGGGCAAACTTCACATAAACCATCAACTAAATAGCCCTAACAAATCCTAAACTTTTTTTTTAAAGTAACACTGATATTTATTAGTTGTATTAATTCAATCTTATTTGTACAGAAACATTATGTAAATACAACACTAGCATTATTTTCATAAAACTATCGTGAGATAATATATATCTACAGCAAGTTTTAATTTTAGGTATTGTTGTACAAGATGGTTTAACAGTACAATAAAATAAAACACCTAGACTTGTAATTATTATCAAGCACTAGCTATCCAAGCAACTGATTACGCTTACTCTGATTTCTGATCTTTTAAACCTTCCCTTTAAAGAATATTTGGAGACCAAAATTATCCAAAATGCACCAGCAATTTAGGAGTTTTAGCGAGACAAACGAACAGCATTTCACTTCTATATAAGATAGATTACAAAACATATTTACCTGTCAGTATGTTTCGCAGGCCGGCTATGTACGACGAGTGGTCCAGTAGCGCTGACATTGGCATGCGGAGCGAGTAGCGCGCGGCCTAGCGCATTGCGCATAACGAGACGTAACCCCGCTTCGGGGGACTCTCCACCAATCTCTAACGTGCAGTACCATGGCACTGCCACTTCCACTTGTATCGCCTGCAAACAACAATAGCTTGAATAAAAAAAAAAAACAAAAAAATCGAAGAAACCTCTTGAAAAAAATACTTTCTTCTCCAATGGACATTAATGAATGTCATTATCATAGGAAAAGACTATCTTAGACTAACAGTTGAATAAAGCCCACTTTTTTACAAGGGTTACCATAAATAACTCCGCAAAAAACAGGTATGTTAATTGAGAGAAAAAGTTTGATCAAATTGTAAAGTGCAAGAATTAAATCCCCCACTTAGACGTTTTATGAGACCATAGCTAGCAAGGTCTTGAGGCCAAACGTACAGAGAAACACCAGCCCAGATAATTGGTTGACAAGAACCATTTGATTACATAACTAGGCAAGATGTAAATCAGATCAGGTGCGCAAACTATCAAGGTATATGCGTACGACAAATGCTCACATGCTCAAACTCACCGTCTCTCTAAAGATATTATTCCTTTCATCCTTGTGTTGAGCTACGATGACTGCATGTCCTGGTCTTACAGCATTTAATTCTCCAGCTGGACTAATAGTTACAGCACCATCTCCATACGCCTTCCAAGTTCCTCTCGGCAAAGACTTGAGTTTGATAACAGAGCTGACGGCTAACGCCAGTCTGTCTCCTGAAGATATTTCCTTAGAAAGACCTTCCACTGATGTTCTGATATCGGAAAGACCTAGGATCTCGATTGTGCTGTCCCAGGAACGGGTTTCTGCTGCCTGGATAGAAATTGCTACGTTAACAAAGATTTTAAAATTGAAACAAAGTTTTTTCACTATACGAAGCTAGACAGAAGGCTAGTTTGTGTTATATACCATAATCTGAACATTGATATATTGATAACTGGTTTACATGGGCTAGAGAGAGAAGTCTTTAAGTGATTTTCCCCCCACAAAAAATGGCATCGGTTTTTTATTTAACTTGATTTTAGCATGTGGCCTATCGTAGAATGTAAAATAATATTTTACCTGTCCCATATTCCGTACTCGGATATCGATAGTGATGACTCCGGGTTTCAATGGCACTACTCGCACTGATAAACCTTCAGCTACCGACCTCTCAAGCATATCTGTAAAAGATATTTTTTTAGAGTGACAAATTATCCTACTGAAAGTAAATGCTAAAGTTTATAAGTATGAATGCGTATTTTTAATGTTTTCACATAAAACTACTCGACTGATTTGAATGAAATTAAGCACAGAATAATATTATATATCTGGAATGACATATAGGCTACTTTTTGCCCCAGTGCTTTGGGCGAAACCGCTGGTAGTAACTAGTAATTAATATTTTATGAGAAACACTATTGCGCAACAATCTTGTACTTGCGCAAACCTTAGCGCAAATAAGTTTAAAGTTTTCCACTTACCATCAGCATGACTGGTATAAATTCTTGCAGTAGCAGGGTCACGAATGGACCAAGTGACTCTTGGTGGTGGCATGAGGGAAGCCAGGGCTGCGGCACTGAGACCCCCTGCCTCTATCCATAAGGGGCTTGGAGATCCTACCAAAAGACTCTGAGTCGCTGCCTTTACACGGATACTTGAAATTGGGACCACCTGGGAAACAAATAAAAAGATTAAGTGCCTTGTCTGCACAGAACGTTTGGCGCATTGACTAAGCAACCGGCTGTGCAACGTGTCGTAGGTTCGATTCCCACACGAAACGACCCTTTGTGCGATCCACGAATCCAATCCAAGTTTCCAATTAAATCAATTTTATCCATCACAGAATTACTTAGACTTAGGGCTGATTTTTCAATAGTCAGATAAATGTTATCTGCGGAATAAAATTGTTGCTGTCACTGTCTTATAAAAACATTCGTAAGTAAGTAAGTAAGTTTTATATGTTTTATAGAATTCATCCATCTAATAAATCACGGAGAAATTTATTATCAGCATCGTGCGAAGCTGGTGCAAGACTAGTTACAATATAAAATAAATAGAAAACAAAATGTTACCTCGACTACAGCTTCAGCGCTCGCCATCTCAACGTTGTTAAAATCAGTAGCAACGAGTTTGATACGTGACGTACCGATCGACAAACCGAGCACAGAACCGGATGGCGTCACCTGGTACAAAATAATTAAATTTAATACAATATTCTACATTTTCAACATTAAAATAAATACAACATTTAATTAAGTAAAAAAACCTAAGTCACGGTGTACATTGACTAAAGATAACTTTGAATAAGGTTCTATAGGGATTTAAAAAATGTATCTCATTGTACATTACTGACACACAATGATTTACGTCTTTTTATAGTAAAACATCTTTTTATATTGGATAAAAGTTGCAACAAGTTGATATTTGAGTAGTTACTTGAAAATGTAAATATGTAATGTATTGGGAATTTTATAAAGTATCAAAGTGCCAAGATGCATAATTTTCTTAGGAAATATGATACTGCTTATACTATTTTTCAGTAATTTTCAGGTAAAAAAGTGGTGGTATACCTCGACATGCGGCAGTCCATGCGTGGGCCTGTAGTGTAGCTGGGCGAGGTGGGGCGGAGGCCCGCCCACGTGGCGCAGCTGGACGCGCGACCCCGGGGGCAGCCGGGGCCGGCTCGGGACCACCGCCAGCGCAGGGAATACTTGCACCTGCAATACAAATTATTTTATTATATTCTGCTGATATGATATACGGGCACTTAAAAACCGGTGAAATGTGGTTTTCAATCAATATGTGTCTGACACTGCCTCTCACTCATACAAGAAGACACTGCCTCTCTCAATTTACTGTGTGTACAAAAATTATTTAATAAATAAATAAGAAGGCAGAAAAAGTCAATTTATAGAGATTACTTGAAAAATTAAAAACATCGCTTCAAAAAGCTTAGGTCTTGCAATAAACATAAAAATAAAATTATTTCATTTTGATTAAAGTTATCTTGGTAGTGGTACGCCTCCAAAATAACCATGACCAGGTGGTCATACAAAATTAATGTAATAAAATAACCGCCACTACCCCATAAATGGCTGATAATCCTATTTTATAGTGCATATTAATATTTTGCGTTCTCTCAAATCTGGACACCAATAAGCTCTCAATGCTCTTTTACGAGACCCAAGACAAAATTACAATAACCTTAAGCATATATCCTTACCTCAACTTCAGGGCTCCATACACCGCCAAACAGCGCACGGACCTTGCCAGTACCCTCTTGGAGACCACAAAGAGAGCCATCTTTGACAGAAATATAGCCAGAAGTCCTCCATTCAGGTGGTTTCCCAACAGTGAGGTATCGATGGGACACGCCCTTTACGAGCGCGGATACGGGCACGCACGCACCAACTCCTACGGCACGGGACGTCGTTACTTCTACGCTTAGTACTTCTTCTATGTGGACCTGTGAAAGCGTTCATATATATAACAATATGGTATATTGGTTTAGGTGGTTAACTGAGACAATTTTGATATGTGTTTTTATATTAAAGTAGTCATATAAAATACATAGAAAGATGATTTTAATTTAGTTTATAAGCAAACAACGATTTAGATAAATACGTAATTGTAACATTTTTAAATATATATTTAGATAAAAAGGCATAAAATGATTCTTTACATCATCCGTTCATTACCTAAACACATAGACCATAATGAGCAGTTCTAAATTCAGGTAACCAGATAATTCTATATGCATCCAATATCCAAGTGGTTTTGTGTTACGATCAAAATTAAAACTTACAACTTTTACTACACAGTTCAAATTTGAATAATTGTGTACAAATGCTAATTCTATAAGTAACATTGTTAGGGACCCTTTACAGTGCTGACATCTGTTTTTATGTAATTGGTTTGCAAACGAGCAGACGGATTACCGAGATTTTAAGCAATCAGCGCCGCCCATGGACACCCGCAGCAGAGAAGTCACAAGTGAGTTGCCGACCTTTTGAGGATTAGGGATTTGGAGATTTAGGGAAATATTGGTCCTCCGGATTACATAAGTGTGAAAAACAGTTTGTGAACATTAAAGGACAGTGTACAAACACTTTACAATAACTTTTCTAAACATCATTTAGTTTAGGATACAAAAACCATGAAAAACTCACCTCAATCAACTGTTTTTCTCCTTGAACACACAGATCGGTTACTATAAGGTCATAGGACCCTGGACCGAGTACATTAGCAGATAGCGAGCCATCCTCGACCTCTGCCAACACCCCTTTTGGCGCCTCAACTGCGTAACGACCACTACCGCCAGTTATAGTCGCTATGTTGGTTACCGTCTCGCTTTCCCAAGCCAAGTTCACCTGTAAAATAATTTAAACTTTATAAAGTAAAAGCCATAAGGATGAAAATTGAACAAACCATTATTTTTTTATAAATATTAATGAAACTTATTAATAACAACACATAATCTATTTGTCAATTTTAGATTTAGAATGGAATGAAGTTTAAAATAAAAAAAAAACAATTAAAGAATGTGTTTATATGAACCAATGAGTTATAATTTCTATAATTCTGTACTTATCAATCTATTCATACATTATCATTAGGATTTGGACACTGCACATGACATAAATGTAACTATTTACTTCTTATTTAATATGTAAAAGATAAACATGTTACCTTGAGCGGATCACATTTCAACGGAGCCACAACCCTCGCCTGTATAGAGGCAGTCGCTTCAGGAATGCTTGCCTTCAACGCGCCCGTCCATCCGATAGCCGTGTCGTCAGCTAACACGACCTGTTGAACAAACACATAATTACATATTTTTCATATAAGAAATGCACAAGTTTAGTGTAATAGAGCCGTAAATGTTTTTTTTTTTAACTCAGTGGTGTATAATGTAACTGTGGTTGGGCCATTCGTTTATTATTAGATCCACAAATTGTTGTTGTCCAGTGTGTTGTTTTGATTGCATGGTTGGTGCGATGGCTGGGCAACTGGCTGCCGTGCAACGTGTCGCGGGTTCGATTCCCGCACGAAACAACTCTTTGTGTAATCCACAAATTGTTGTTCCGGGTCTGGGTGTCTTGTGTCTGTGAAATTGTATGTTTGTAACAGCACCCACGAAACATGAGAAAATCCTAATGTGGGGCAAAGCTTTTTAAAAAAAAAAAAAAGAAAAAGTGTTATGGTGTTACTGTGCTTATGATTTTCTATGTAAGAGACAACCCAAATCGGGATAGATTTTTTTAGGAAAAAGATAAAAATAAAATAATCTAAAATAATAGTGCTAGATTTGATGAAATCCCTTTTAAACATTAAGCGCTTATTTTTATTTGGGACAATCATAATCCGATACATTATCATATATGATATACATATATCTTCTATAATATAAAAATGAATCGCCAAATATTTTGCAGTGCTAATCTCGAAAACAGGTAAACCGATTTCACTTATTCTTTTTATATTATTTGTTAATCTGAAGAAGGTTCTAATTAAAGAACATTTTAGAAAATTTTATGGAAATATCGTTAGATCGGTCGTCAAAATCCAAATTGGACACTTGTATAAAGCAAGGACAGCCCACTAGTTATTCCTCTTTTTTTAAGATTAACACTTACTTGATAATACTTATACGGGACGGGCACAGGCACGAAATCAGGGTGTGTTTCAACAAACAACCTGTCCGTAGCTTGGTACTGTAAGCCTGCGTGATAAGGTTCAATATCCCATGACATCTTAGGACCATTCTCATCGAGAAGCTCACGACCTATTGCGTCCAGCAGCGTCACTTTTACTGATAATTCTTGACCTGGACGTAACCATATTCTGTAACAAACATGTCAAATTATAACATAAACGGCGGCAAACGAGCAGACGGATTACCTGATGTTAAGCAATCGGTGCCGCACTCTTGGGCGGTGCCTTTTGCCCAGCTCGATGTTGCGGATTGTGCGGAGTGGGCAGCCTCTTGGGGTTAAGGGGATTTGATGAGTTACAGAATAGGAAGGGGTAGAGGGAAGGTAAGGATTGGGCGTTCGGTAATGAGTTTGCTCGTAATATATTTTTGTAAATATTTATTTAAGTTGCATTTCGTAATCCAAGTTTTTTGTTCCAAGTTTGCTCCTTCATAGCACCTATAATACTTTTTATATCGGCCAAAGGTCGACAAGTGACAATGTCTATGGCATTAAGAACGCCTACGTAAAGTTGGAAAAAATAAATAGAGTAGGTATTGAAAAAGACTTACTTGTGTGGATTGGAGCAGTTCCCAGGCGTGTCAGGCGCTTCTAGCCTGACGCGCGACACGTGGGGGGCGCAGCCTCCCTCCAGCGATACGGACTCACGCTCCTCTGCCGCCGTAGATACCAATTCCACTACAGACTCGCCTTTCTGAACAGTGATAATGAATTGTTGTTAAAGAAAATACCATAAAATATATTATGGGCCAACTTTATTTATTATTATTATTTGGTTTGTTCGTTTTCCATTTATGGGACCTTTGGAAGGCATACGATGACGACCCGTTTGATATCAGCGAAATGGGAAATCTGCTATTTATTTCTTAAGATTAGCTTTTATGGAATATGTCTTTGTGTTTAGAAAGAAAGAATGAAATATTAATTCATTTACCACCGTAACAAAAAACTAATAGAGATACTTGTGTGGTATTTGACCTGGATAAATGATAAAATGTTCTTTAACTAATCAAAAATCAAAGCAAAATATTTTTTATTATTTATTTTTTAAAAAGGTATAATTTAATAGGGGTGTCGTTTAAACCCTTTTTCAAATTTTAATAATTTCGTAATTGCTAATTTAATTTAGTCTTGTTTTAGTCTATACTATCTATACTAATATTATAAAGAGGTAAAATTTGTAAGTGTTCTATGTTCTAGAGTGCTATAGGCTATAAAACATCACGCTACGATTAAATAGAGCCGAGCAGCGGGTGAAACCCCACGAGAGACGCTAGTATGTAATATTATACGTAATAATAGCACTTACCCTACGGCACTTGAAGGTGAAAAGTTGTACATCAGGGTATCGGTGAGGCGGGGGGCCATCACGTACTGACAACTCGGCTACTCGGGAGTCCTGGGACTGAGGTACTAGGGCTTCACCCTCTGCTAACACCTGTATGAGGAAAAAATATCATTTTTATGGTTTTAATGGTATTTAAACTGCATTTGGCAATGATATACGACTATATTTATGACTATAGCCTAGAATAACACGAAAAGTAAATCGGGTAAAGCTGCTTGCATAAGCTAGTCTATGATTAGGGATAGCGATTAGTAAGCATATAATATGTATTAGTTTGGCTGTCGAAAATCGCAACGGTATTCTCATGGTACTTTGCGTAAGTGTATAAAGAGCAATAAAGTCATCATCATCAGCCTCTAAGTGCCCACTGCTGAGCAAACGCATCTTCTCATACGGAGAAGGTTAGAAGCATTGATCACCACGCTTGCTCAATGCGGGTTAGCGATTTCAAACTTATAGTTAGAAATTATAAGTCCAGGTTTTCTCACGATGTTTATCTTCACTGTATGTCAGTGGTGTCTAAATAATCATAGTAAGTACATATAACTCGGAAAAAGTCACTTGGTACTTGCCAGGTTTCGAACCCTCATGCATGAGAAGCGGGCTAAGTTAACAAAGAGCAAAAAGTATGTGATATGTATTAGCGTTTATCTGTTAACAATGGTTTTGTGAAACTTTTGTAGATGTACAAAGAGTAAATGACTGGGGTGATATATAATTATAATAACGGCGGGGTACGCACGGGTATGGCGGCGCCGGGCAGCGCGGCGGCATGCTTGGGCCACAGCAGCGCGGGCGCGGCGCGGACGGCCACGCGCGCCGTGTCGCCCGCGCGGCCCCGCGACACGCGCACTGTCGACACGCCGCGCGACCCCCACGCACACTCCACCACGCAACATGCGCCGTCTGGGGACAGTTACAACATACTCATTATTATGTAACACTAGCTGACCCGACTGACTTCATCCTGTCAAAAAATTGTAATGTGGCAGTTGTTCGTACCTATTTTGTATTTTTGCAAAAAATATCCCGAACAGAACCGTCACCCTGGTAATTATTCGATGTAAATTAAAAATAATTAAATAATAAAACACTATAAGATGTTTTATTTAATTATTTTGATATATTCATATTACACACACTGTTTTTGACGTTAGGAACATATCTACATTTCTTAGATAACAGTGAGTGCTTGTTATTTAACTTTAAAGAATAGCAATAAATCTCAAATTGATTTTCCGTTTTAGTTAGAAAACGTTTGTTTGTGAAAAAGAAAAGGGCTGCTTTTAGGGATTTCCTCGCAATTATTCGATTTTTTCTCGCCGTAAGAACCAAACTTGAACTTCGACGAGCATCTTAAAAAAAAAATTGGCCAAATTGGTCCAGGCGTTGTTGAGTTATGCGTTTACCAACACATTTTGTGATCCATTTTTGTATTTTAGATTAATTTTTGACAGTGCAATTCAATACACTACTAATAAATTACAAAATAATGTAAATAGGTACTTAGATCTAATATCGGTAACAGAAAAATTTACGTATCTGTAACCGTATTCAAAACCAATGTACCATATATCCAGATTCAAAACATGACATCTCTGTTGAAACCTAGAATTTCTCCAAAAACAATACTAGCACCGAGTGATATCACTCGACTGTTATCAGGAATTAATAATAGTTCTTGTATTACAAAGCATTACCGTGTCAATTAATTTACTACTAGTAACGAATAATTAAAGAAAAAAATTAAAACTGACCAATGGGCTTCATCCAATTAGCGACGGTGACATTTTGTGGCTCCGGTCCCTCCAATAGTGAAACAGCAAAAGAGCCGCAGTTGCAACTAAAAACAAAATAAAAAAAATAATTGGTCACACTTATTGTTTTATTTTCCTAGATCGAAAATAAATCATCTTGAATTATCCATACAATTAAATGTTAGATGAAGATAAATTTATTTGTATAAACATGTATGGGTAACATTATACATATAGATGCAAATGCAGATGGTAACGTAAAATAAAATCGTACTTTAATTTATTGATACTTAATTTTAGATTATTTCTAGCTAATTTTTTAGATAAAAGTTGATTGCCTAAAAACATTATGACATCTTCTGTTGCGAGTTCACTAAAAATTCATACTTAGTAAAGTATTTTTTTTAGGACATTACAATAAAAGTATTGAACTTGACTAGTTGGAAACTACAGATTTTTTTACCTAAGTAAATAGTTTTGCTATGATGCTGTATGTATTACAAAGTAAATACTTACGTATTGAAGTTATAAAGTTCTCCCGTCTCAGGGTGCGTTGCCGTCAACGCGATGTGTAGGTAATGTGGCTTACCGACCCTCGCGTAACCCGAACTCGACACTTGTAGCATTTCGAATGGAGCGGACAACACCCTGAAAAAAGTTTATTTCTAAGATGAAACAGTCATAGTAGCCCGGTGGTTAAGGCGCCCACTTCTCATACCCGAGGGTGCGGTTCGAAACCTGGCAAGTACCAATGAGACTATTTTCGAGTTATTAATGTACTTTCTATGATAATCTAGACTCCACTGTCTAAAATATTGTGAAGAAATCTGGACTTATTATTTTTACTAAGTTTGATATCGCCAATCCATCTTGAGCATGCCTTTGTTCAGCAGTAAGCACTTATAGGCTGATGATGTGATATGTGAAGATGAGATGCATGTTAAGATAATGTAAACAATATTGTAATCTTACTTTCCGATAGCCTTGACATGTGGGTACTTCTTTAATTGCACCCTTACTCCGATTTGTCCAGGTCCTCTAATCGTCACTATACCGTCAGATGTCAGGGAGAGAGGGTCAGGCGCCAACTCATTCTCAATCTCCGACCATATTACGGGTTCGTCGCCACCACCAATATGCTTCAGTGACACTTCTCTGAAAAGAAATTCATTGTTTATTACATTGGCAATAAGGAATAAAGTTGTTTGAAGTGAAATTAGAAAAAGATTGTGAGTAAGAAACAAAAAAATACTTACTGCAGTGTGTCTGTCCAAGATACAAATAGATGCGGCGGTACAATTTCTAATGGTTCAATAGCAACTGCTGATACTTGACCTTCCACCTAAAAAGAGATCTTGATTAGCAAGTAAAACTTATATTTCAATCATACTTATACAATTTAGGTGTCTTCAAGGCTAGAGTGAATATGCTCTTAATAAACTAGTGCGCCTTACCATCAACGATTGCATCACTGCTAACCATCAGGTGGGATCGCAGTCAAGCACTAGTTTAGTCTAGTTTGTTTTGTACTTAGATTGTTCCGAAGTTTAGTATTTTGTGAGTTATGTATCATAACGAAAATCCTTTCACGGAATAATATATTAATGTTATAAAGCTAAAGAGTTTGGTTGATCATTTGCTTGAACGCAGTAATCTCTGGAACTACTGGTTCGAAAAAAACAATTATTTTTGTTTTATAGTCCATTTCACAGAACTACGACGCTACGACCAATAGAAGCCGAGAAGCGCATAAAACCATACAGAAATATTTAGTTAAAGGTATATTGAAAAACAAACCTTCTGTGAGACAGTCCTTCCAGCAACAGAATACAACCTCGCAGTGATAGTCAACGAACCAGCATTATTTGCAACCGCATCAGTCAAAGTTCCATTCTCCGTAGACTGCAAAAGGTCTACATTCGCTTCTCCTTCCACTGTGAGCCGTATCAGAATCTGGTCACCAGCCATTAACGCATGGCCTTTGTCATCGAGAACGATGCAATGTACTACAAAGGGTTCGCCTTTGATGACTAAGTTTGATGGACGTAGAGTGACTCGAATTGAGTGTGCTTCAGCTACTGTGAGTGTTGCAGTTGCCACTTCGGTAGCTCCTGACATTAAGTACACATTTGTTGTGCCTATGTCTGTTCCTTTCACCAAACTGACACTGTCTTCTAATAGCGCAATGCTTGTGTCTGGCACTTTTAGATAGTATACAGTCTCTGTAATATCTTGTACTGTTAGACGGCCTGCACGTGCTCTTACGACCCTGAAAAATTAAAATGCGTTAATGCATTTCTTTGTTTTGTTATCATGAAATCATCCAAGGTAAAACTGGTTTAGAATTGCCATTAAATGATCGATAGATTAATTACGAAATAAGTTCTCAATTGTATAAATAGTGTAGCAATTAGAAATGCGCACTATTTAGACTCAATGGCATAGATATACAAACAAATCTTTGCTGTTGTACTCAAAGATTTAGTTCATCATCATCATATCAGCCACAGTCAAAGATTTAGTTAGTCTATAAAACCTAAAATAATACTATGAAACTTACTTATATCTCAGAGAATCTCCCGGTACAATACTTGCTATTGCAGGCATCAAAACAACACTGGCAATGACTTGCAAGTTGAAATCAGTGCAAATGTCTTCAAGGCACACAGTAACTCGAGACTCTCCCATTGCCTGACCATATAGAAGTACGGAATGTGACCGAAGACCACGAGCTTCCAGCTCTGTGACACCGCGTGGAGCTTCATAGTCTGTGTCTCGCCAACGAACTAGCCTGGAAATTTAAAAAAGAGTTAAAACAAAATCATTCAATATTATTTTGTAAAAAAAAGTAATGGCAATAGAATACATGAAAATAAAGTAAAAAGTATTAGTATTTGAAACTTGGCAATATGTCAACTGATACTTTGCCATCTTTTGTCTGACTGTATGGTTAATCATTTGTTTAATGAGATATTATTATTGAGCTGCCTGTTCTAAAATTTTATCTATAAAAAATTTAATAATTTATCTTTTCAATGTGATATGGCAGCAAACATGTGGATTAACACTCTTAAACCTAAATAATATTTTTAAATGCATTGCTGGACTTTTGAGGATTTTAGGATTGGGAATGTGTGCATGAGGGGAGGGATTAGAAGGGTATGGGGAAGGGGAATGATTGGGGTGGTATGGGGGAGTGGAAGGATTCGGAAGGTATGGGATAGTGAAACAATAGGGGAGGAGTAGGTGAGGGGAAGAATTGTGCCTGTGGCCAGTTTTCTCTGAGGCCATGGTATGGCTCCAATTGGGCATGGCTCTGACACACTTTTAAATATATTGTAATACAATAATTAAAGGTACTTACGTGACCAAGGGATCCTCTCCAACATTGCTTCCTAGATTCTCAATGCTCCAAGTAAAACTTATTCCTTCCAGTGTTGAAAATTTGTTTCCTAAAAGGAATTATTGTCAAATTAAGGAAGCTCTTTTTTATCTTTTTATCTTTATCTATTAAAATCATCCAATAATAGTTTAACTGCTTAATTTGAATGGTGTTTCAATGTATTTTTGTGCCTTATCTCAAAATTATTATACTTTTTGAAGAGAATATGTACCTACAAAATGTTTAAGATTGTAATTAGACTTAGTTGTAATCTAAGACCAAAATACTGAATTAGGTATTTACATTTATGACATGATATCACTGTTATAATTATATAACAATTTATAGACTTATTTACAAAACTAAAGTGCAATCAAAAGTACTGTAACAAAAAAAACATACCCTGGTCATCATAAGCCACAACTTCAAAGGCCTCAGGAGCTTCTTCTAGAAAGAGGTTCCATGTTGTACTCATAACCTTTAGAGACCTTATCTTGTCTATATCCACATCCCCTCGGAGAATCTGTACATATAACAATTGAATTAGAACATTTACTTTATTTTTTTTAATATGAACATGACATGTGTGTATGAATAACATTGGAGAAAGACTTGACCTCAGACCTGTTTACACAATATATTTGATTTATCTTTGTATTAGCCATGAAAACATGGTATCTGGTGTTAAAATTCTTGACAAATAATTTTGTTTGCCTATTTAATTTCATCATTGTTTAGGAAATATTATATTATTCCATTATGTCAAACACTAGTGAGCTTACTGAGTTATAGATGAACCTATTACATGATAATATTCAAATAAGATCTTTTTATAAGTAAGTCTTATATTTCTAATTTTAAAAAGAGATATGTTACAATATTACCAGCTGTTTACATACTGATAAATATTATGTACTAAACTGATTCTGCCCTCTGATTAGGTGTTAATTCAATAGAACTAAGTTCAACAAACATAAGGCTGCTTTCCCGCCTTTCGTGTTTTAGCTTATTACCTCGCCTGAATTGACTTCCTCGGCTAGAATTATCACCGAACCAGGTGGTACACAAGACTTGGAGACGGAGACACGCGCCGCCCGCGAACAATGACCTGTAGCATCATCGTACAGCGGCTCCAAGTCAATGATGTCATCGCGAGACAAACTCCTATAAAATAACTTTATGTAATAACGTTCAACTTTAATCTTAGAGCAAATAAAACAAAAATGGCATGTTAATATTACTCACCATGTGTAACAACCCCCCTCAATGATTTCAAAGGTGAAATTTATATTCAAATCTTCAAACCATGGTAACAACACCCTTGGAGTGTTTATTTTAGCTCCATCACACGTGCACCCAAGTAAACACAGTACCGATAAGAATACTGCAGTTTTCTTAAACTCCATGATACTATTTAAGCAAATACATCAATATAGTTTAATTATTGTTCCTATTTTGAAAAATCTAACCTATTCAACACAAATCGGCAAATCGCGCATTTCATTCAAACTTTTGACAGTTGTGAATTTGACAGATTTTATATACAGAGTAAATAAAAGTGAAATAAAAAATGAAATACTTTATTTTGTAATTTGATTCATTTTAATTTCTTATAGAGAACTTGTTTAGTTCTCTATGTAATTTCTTGGTTCCAAAACAATAAATATTTACCCACTAATTGTAGTCTTGTAATTTGTCTCTATATCTCAATAAACCTATTATTTCTATAATTTCAATCAAACCAAAGAAACACTTTCAGATCAATAAAATGGAACTAGTCTAAATTATATAAATTATGTCAATTATGAATTAAATTTTTGTTATTATCATATTTTTGCGTTTCACAAAATTTTCTTCCATTTTCTCTCTTGCAAAAAAAAAAACAATGAAATGTCAAAATGTTAAATATGGCTGCTGTGTATTCGTCATGTTTTGTGTCGTATTTTACATGAATTTTATAAATAAATGGCAAAATGAGTACGATTAGTAATTAATGTGAGACAATATTAAAGTTATTAAATTAGAAAACATTGTTGGAATAGCGCATAAGTGTCAGAAATCATCATGTCTTCAGACAAGGCTACTGAAATAAAAGGCAATGAGATCGATAAAACCAAACGTCGTCATAAAACTGACGACACTGTTATTGCGACAGCGGCAACAAACAGTGTTGAAGATACAGTGCAATTTGTGAAGATGGAGAGCGCGGACGAAAGCGCGGGCAAGCCCACAGAGCTATGTCTTCAAGGCAACGCTCACTTGATTTCTAGTACAACGAGTAGTTTGGCCGATACGCCTGGTGATTCTGGTGTTTTGTGTTTAGATAGTGAAGCCTCGGAGGCCACCAGCCAGGCGCTTATGTCGCACAGTCTCATAGGAGCCGAGGAATTAGCCTGCGACAGTGTTTACGATGCGCCGCCGTCTTGTTCTCAAGACATGATCAAGAGTACCACTAGTAGCATTATGACCCGCAGTGATATCGACAACCAAAACATTGGTGCACCTGAAGACATCGTGCCAGAATTAATTGTTGAGACTAATAAGAAACCAAGTCCATATGAAAACTTGCCAGATTTAGTGTTAAAAGCATTAGAAAGTGAAAAAGGTGCAGATGAATCTCGTAAGCCAGCTCTGAGGAATGAACCTAAGAAGTCTTTGTCTGAGGATATTGTTTACAGACGAAGATGTCGGAAAAAATCCCAAAGTGGACCTAGTTCACAGAAGAAAAGAGTATCATTCCATGAGGATATATTAAACAATACTAAAACTGATAATATTCACATTGAAAGAGGTTTTGTATCTTATGGACCTGATAGTTCATACTGTGACAGGTTTAGGCAGAAGAATAACATTGTAACAGACAGGTTCTCATGGTGTGCTTCTGGGGATAGGACACCAAAGTATGCAGCTGATGTTGCTCAACAGACTATGTCAGATATCCTCACTTATGGTGATTCCAAAAATGACAGGAGTGGTATATTTGAATACTGTCAGGATTATGAACAAGAAAATCAAGAAAACAATAACAATGACAAAGACAACAATAATGAACCCAGGCCTACTGGGAAACTGTATGGATGTGACTCAAACAGCTCAGACTCTAATTTCAGCTGTGACTCTGAAACCTCATCCAGTGACTCATCCTCCTCCCATTCTAATAAAACTGAAACTTCAATGCTCCACAGAAAGTGTGACAAAGCTCAGAAATCCTATTCTTGTGATGCATTTGAAAATAATGGGCATGTTGCATTCATGAGGAAAACATACTTCTCTGAGGCTGATATTGACCAATCCACTGATCGCATGAAGATGCCTCTTGAGGTGTCACACAGTCCAAACACAGTTAAATCTGTACTGAAGAAGAAGCGCTACATAACTACTAGTATTGTAGAGGAAAGGAAGTCACATAACAAAGTATTAAATCTATTGGATGCCAATAACATCATAGACTCTTTGAAGAATTTTTACAAGAATTTCAACTTTAATTTTGCACCAGAAAAAGGTTTGCCTGAAAATAGTTTGGAATTGAATAATGTTGTAGAAGCTCTACCATGTGATGTTAATCACAACAAAAAGCTTTCTAAAAGCCTTGACTCAGGATTCCAGGCTGAAGATGAAGATGATTTTGTGGAAATCAATCTGAATGGCCAACCTTTGGAGACTGTGAGACCTAAGGAAATGACAACACCATCAAAAACTGCAGTGGCAGGTGACAGGACTCCCAAAGAAGGATCTCCAAGACATAAGCTGACACTCAACATGAAGACTCAACTTGATAAGAAACCCAACAAAGCTGATCTCCCACCCCTTAGCAAATATGTTGTGAATTGTGAGAGCACAGTTTATGAACACAAAGGAGTCTCTTACAGTTATGTTCATGATACATTCCAAACTGCTTTTGATGCACCCAAAGAGACTTTCGTCCCTATACCTGAATCCACTCCTGTGACAGAGTTAGTCACTAGCACAAGTAAGATAGACCTCACTAAATCCAATGATACTGACTCTTCTAGTAAGACATCAACACCCAAGAGACAATTCAAAAATATTCAAGACGAGACTGAACAAAAGAGTGGCATTTCCAAGCATTTGTCTTCACCAAAGAAACAGAATGTAAACAGGTACAGTCGTAAATCTGCGTCAACATTACAAAAAATGAATGACGAGCCAGCGCAAGTGAATAGCGACAACTGTTCAAACACCGACAATTCAACCTTGAAGGGTGCCGAGGACTTTAATGACGACTTCTTCGACAGTCCCGGCAATCAAAAGCTGCAGTCCAACAAGTCTGCGTTATTGAACCGGTATCTGAAGAATGTGTGTCAAAGGAAAGACCTTGAACTTAAAATAAAGAACAATAAGTTCTTTCAATTCAAACTTCGAATGGAGAAACATTTCCCGAGCATTATATTTCCTATGAAAGAGGTGTCTGATACATTCCACGTGTCTGCTGAACGTATGTCGAGGCTTATAGACAAAGAGGTGATAGAGAACAAAAGGTTGTCAGTGAGGCTGCTGACAGCGGACGAGCCGTCCTACTTTGATAGTTTCGAAGATAACGTCGCCATAGAGTGTAATGAAAAGCTCAGGCTGCAAATATTCTCGTATCCAAATGAAACTTTAAATAGGGTAATTATGTTTGATTACTAAATCGTTACTCTAATTTCGTTCACCGTACTACGACCTTGATTACACGATGTTTTGTACAAGGTACTAATTTAGCGAAAAAGTTTTGAAAACCATTTTTAATCATCGGGCGAAAGGTCAATTTGATTCGGTTCAAGTAACAAAGTAGGTAGCTATTTCTAGCCTTTTCTTTTAAGTTTTATTAAACCTTACGTTCTTACAGATGATGAAAGTGAAATCACCATATAATATGGATGATGGATCTTGGACGCCTCTGCTGGTTTTCATCACGGACTACGCGTTGTACGTGGCGAGCGTGAAGCCTGGAGGTACCGAGTACGACATGCTGTGCCGGCTACCTCACAATGAGCTGGATGCTATCGTGGTAAGTCTTTTACTAACTGCTACATGAATTGCTATAACTATGCTGAACTAGAAATTGCTGAAAAACGAAATGGAAAGTGATTGAGGTATTCTCTGTACTGCAAGTCTTAAGGCCTAATAAGAAAACCTAGTGCAGTACTGCGTTTCTTAATTAATATTATAATGCCTAACAATATCGCGTAATCTTATTTACGCACCGTGAACAATGCGTGAACCTGTAAGCGTATGGTCTCTTCTCTTCATTCTTCATTGATTTTCGCGCATCGATACCGTATAACATGTATAAAAAATGTAGAATTATGTTTTTGTAAACCTTTGATTTTCGCTCGTCTAGTAGGTATATGTGGTTATAAAAGGGTTATCTCATCACATGTGTTCATTGAACGTTATTATCTCTAGACCATACACAAAAACCTTTTTTTACCGCTCAGCCACTAACGCTATCATCAAATCAATTAAATATAATTATACAAATATAGCTTATCTGTGAAATAACCTTGTTTAAGAGTATTTTGAACCTGAACTTATAAACAGTTTTATGCAATAAACGACAACAGAAGCTGGGTCAATAATGTCTTAACGACTTGTATGACTCATTAATAATAACGACTTTGCATGATCCTAGCTGCATTAGTCCATTTAAACATAATATCGACCTGCAGTCGTGATACGTTGTTTATGTTTTTATAATGTAGCTATGTTCTTTGCTATGCAGATAGTGCGTAGAAATGAATGTTAGAGTCAATTGTTAATCTTCGATATGTTTATAAGTTGTCTAAACTAATGTTTGTATGTCCATCATTCACTTTTCGCCCAAGGTAATGTGTGAGACAGACTCTTAGTGTCTGTACCCCATTCCTTATCCTGCTCCTGTATCTTGTTGCGCTTAACCAGCAAGACTGTAACAACATGCTAATGCAGTTTTTTAAAACTTAGGGTTTTTGCATCAACATTGCGATAATTTATATAACAATATAAAACTAGGAGCCCGGCCCTACTTCGCACGGGTTTCCAACTATCTCGCTAAGGATTTCCCAGATCTCCCCTATACTTTTCTAGAATTTTCTTTCATAAGTACCTTCTCCTGACAATAACAAACACAGCAAAAAAAGAATTGGCAAAATTGGCCCAGGCGTTGTTGAGTTATGCGCTTACGAACACATTTTGCGATCCGTTTTTATATATAAAGATATAGATTCGGGACACGTGTGTAATTTCCTAGTTATATATTTACAGACAGTATCAATTCTTAAAATAAATATAAGATAAACAATACAAGGTAGGTCCTAATCCATAAGCGCAATGATATTATCTAGATATGTCTTTCTTGAAACAAACCAGTGACTCATGCAAAGTGCAACGTTATATAACTATGTGACTGGAAATGCCGGGTGTATCGCCCCATTCAGTTTCAAATGAGGTCACCGACATTGACTCTACAGCGACGGGTCAACGGATTCGATCGTACCGCTTTGGTTTACATGAACTTTCTTTTGTAATTTAAACCTATTAGCATGATCATTGCCAAAGTTTATAATATGTATGAATGAATTGTTTCATTCGCGTAAGAACTACTGAATGTTACATGGTTGTCAGATGCTTGCTTTATTGTTTTTGTTCTCAGAAAAAAACGTTGCCCACACTAGGATTTCCATGTGTCGTCTTTGCGTTTACAAACATATACATTATTAGACCGAAACTTATGAATCAAAGTGTTGTTCCGTTCGGAAATCGTTGAACAGCAGCCAGTTGCCCATCCACTGCTCCAACCGTACAATCTAACAGACCAAAAACTACCTAGTTCCTTTTCCTGCTCAATGCCGCGGGCACGGTACATTATTACGGTCCTAGCGAAGGAGCTGGCAGAAACGATTTATAATCTTAATGGTAACATAAATAATATAACACCATGCATGAGAATCGCCAAAAGAGTAGGCAGAGTTGTAATACGGCGTAATAACGTAATAGGGGGTGATCCTTATTGTATTTTTATGATCCTGATAGTAATTTGTCATGTAAATAGTAAACTATTACCGGATATTTTCTTTTACCATTACTTGAAAACCCTTTTATCGTTATAATCCTATTTATTCTCAAATGCGATCACATATAAGTAATGGATACCATTGTCTAAAATGATTGTTTACACAATATTCTATGCTTACAACTCATTATTTAATATTTTTTTAAACATTCAATTTATTTTCCTAATCTAAGAATTATGAGAATGCGTTCCTAAAGAACTCAACATACATAGAGGAAGGATCGGAAGAGTTACTTGCAAAGACTTGGAGTTAGGAAGGCTTTAGACCACGGTAATCCAATTCTTGCGACACAGCATCAAGCAAACGTGGTTTCCTACTGGTTTTATAGAAGTTCATGGTATCGCTCCGATCGAGCTGGCCCATTTATTTGTTTAATCTTCATTCGAAATAAAATTTTATATGCGGACTTAGTGGTAGAAGAAAGCTATTCTTAACAGTCATGTATATAATGTTTTTTATGTGATACGGCAAACGTGTGTATCGATAACCTGGCGGTAAGCAATCGGTGTCGCCCATGGGCACACCATTTGGGGATTAGAGGCGGATATTTAAGAAATGGGAAGAAGAGAAGAATTATACCTCACCCACACTGTGAAACACAACGGTGTGGTAGTATCACGCCGGTTATCTGTGAGGCATAACTCCGGTCTAGCCGGCCCATTCGTGCCGAAGCTCCCACACTTAAGCCAATTTGATATTGATACCCAATCGTGCCATTTAAACAATCAATACATGACAAGTTCAAAGTTGTATGTTTCCTATATTAAGCCCGTTTCTCTTTCCAGGTGGGTCCTGAAGCGCAGTACATCCAGATCCTAGACATCGCTGGCAACATTGCGTGTTCAATCATCACTGGTGAGGCTTCGCTCGGAGCTCGGTTTGCATCGTCTTTGGAATGGAGTGCAAGGACCTCACCGCTGAGAATCCAGCGACCACCAGCCATGATACCGCTTGGATGTAGGGAGTTGGCTGCTGCGGTTGCTAGGAAGAGGCATGAGAGGCGGGTATGTATCTTAAACTAGAATATATTTAATTGATTTTTACAAAAACGACAATTATAGGCAAGCAAATATTTTAAAAATAATATTTTAATAAATGCTTTATGATAAAAGAGGATTTAAATGCGAAATTTGGAAAATATGTTGATGTACCTAATATCTATTACACTTAGGGCAGATTTTTCAATAGTCAGATAAATGTTATCTGAGGAATAGAATTGTTGCTGTCACTGTCTTATACAAACATTCTGACACGACAGCATCATAATTATCTCCCAGATAACTTTTAAATTTTATTTATTTATATAATCTTTATTTAGCTAATCTAATTTATTTAATCTAATCATTGAAAAATCAGCCCTTAAGTTACTTGTGCTATTATCCTAAGCAGAAGGTTTGTGGATCATAGCTATGTAAAAATTTAGTTAGAGGATTGGTTTGAGCTTCCAAGTATTTAATTACCAGACGTGTCGGACGATAATTGGATCAAGCTATTCATTGTCGATAGGAATTAATATATTGTCATACAATATTTTTAGGCACGTTTCCAGATGATAACAATGCGGAGAATTGCTTTCATTCTTCATCATAAAAAAATTTTCTGTTTATGCATGTTTGCTATATTAGCTTGGATAGGTCTAATTAAAATATGTATAGGTACAAAGATTTAACAAGAATGGGAAATACACAAACGTATTTACAATTACTTTCGCGTTAATCCGTAATGAATTTCGTGACCCGAATTTTAATTGAGAATTAAAAAGATAACATATCAATCTAGTTTAGATTCTAGAATTCTTCGGTGTTATCCAAAAAATGTTACCACTGCTAAATGATACTACAATAAACAAAAGAAAATACTATTATATTTAAACAACAATAAAGGTTCGTAACAATAAATAATGAATTGGCAACACCTATTTTTGTTTTCACTTCATTCAATAAAGAGACATTCAATTGTTTTCTTTTTACATTCAAGTGAGCAAGAAATACCTACTTCTCTTAAGGCTATCGACCTTATTATGTCACATAAAAGTTGATTTTCGCTTGACCTCGTTCTCGAGATAGAATAATAGTACATATTATGATAGCAAATGAATATCATGTCTATTATTGACAGCCAGCATCGTGGTATTCGACCTTTACGAGTTTCAAACTTAGTTTATTGATAAGAGTCGTGAATTAATTTGTTAGTTAGTTAGTGGCTTAGAAGCGAAAGTAAAACTTTAAAAAGTTTCTGAGGGGGTAAATCATCCAATGACTTTTTGGCCGTTGACCCGTACAATAACCCTTATTGACAAAAATTCACCTTGTTTCTTCTTCTCCGAGCCGAACTGCGGGACATCATTACGCTTCCACTCACAAATTCAATTCATGTGTTAGATAAAGTCATTTTCAGACACTCATTATAATAAGGTAGTTTCCAACTAGTCAAATTCAATACTTTTCTATGAAAGACTGAGTTATGACGTCATAGTATTTTAGCGTCAAATAGCTTTCTTATTTCTTAAAAAATAGTTAATAAATATCTAAATTTTAGTGTATTGATCGATCCATGAATAAAAGTATAGTTATTTTTCAATATTTTATTGTACTGAAACGTCGGATTAATTTATTTTTGACCTAGAAAACTATCCAATTATAACACACTAGCTATTCTCGCGCGGTTTCATCCGCTGCTCGGCTCCATTTAATCGTAGCGTGATGTTTTATAGCCCATAGCACTCAGAAAGTTTGTAGCTGTCTATCAGTGAAAGAATTTTGGCAATCCGACCAGCGATTCCAGAGATTACCCCCTACATACAAACGTATAAACATACAAACTTATAAATTTTACCTCTTTATAATATCAGTGTAGATAGTGAATTGTACTCAATGTTTACCAATACACTTTTTAATTTAATAATATTCGTTACATAAGTAGCGAAAAATATGCCTCATGCCAATACATATAAAACTCTTTTTAAAAAGACATTGCATATTTTTTTAACCGACTTCAAAAAAGGAGGAGGTTCTCAATTCGACGAGTATTTTTTTTTTTATGTATGTACACCGATTACTCGAAGACGCCTGGACCGATTTGCAAAATTCTTTTTTTATTCGATAGGGTATACTTGCCATTTGGTCCCATTGTCATGAGGTCAGGATCTGATGATGGAATCCTGGAGAAACCGAGGGGAACTTTCGAAAATTGTAGGGGCGAGTAGTGTTTTTGTATGATGTTTAAGTAGGCCTTTATCAACACTACAACTTGACGAAGGTCGAAGTCGACCAGATGTTGGAGCTGGAAGACAGTCGAGGGATCTCCTTGACTATTTGTAGTAGTTGCCTTGTGTTTGGGCTTGAATGATTCGTATTGACGAGCACTTTGCAGCAGGCTTGGTTGTAACTGTCATTAAGGGTCTGATGATGAGAACGAAGGACAGCTCAAGAAACTCCTGAACGGTTTACAGTAACTACTTCGTGTTTGAACTTAATTCATTTATATTGATGAAAACTTTGTACCTATATGTATTATAACAACTGAAGGTCTGCAGTTTACCTGATGATGGAAACCATTGACCGTCGAGGGAATTCCGGATGGAACCGAGAGACAGTCGAGAGAACTCCTCAACGATTCATAGCAGCTTCCTTGTGTTTGAGCTTAATTAATTCGTTTTGGTAAGAACTTTACATCTAGATGGATTGTGACTGTCATCAGGGATCAGATGATAAAAACGAAGGACAGTCTAGGGAACTCCTCAACGGTTTACAGTAGCTACCTCGTGTTTGGACTTAATTTATATTGTTAAGAACTTTCCTAGAGAGATGGCCTGTGTTCCAGTAGTGGGAACATTAAAATGGCTGATGATGATGATGATGATGATGATGATGAGAACTTTCCCGTTTCTTGAGATCTATATTTTTTTATCGAGCGGCTCCTTTCGTAGGCCTAGGTACACAAAGCTACTTAAAAAGTATATACTATTCAATATGTTAATTTATATTTAAAATGTTACTGTAGTTTACAGAAGAACTTGTAACAAATACTAAAAAGTAAAAAATAAAAAAAACTACGTTTAAAAAAACCGACTTCAAAAACAAAAAAGTGTCAAATAAGTAATTAAAATTGATATTTTAATACCACTCTTACGTACGTGAAGCTAATACTTTTAATATTAATAATAAAACACTATCAATTCTATGTGCTACCTATTCATAGATTTGAAGTCGGTGCCAAGCCCTAAACAGAATAAAACAAAATGAGAATTAAGACTGTTTAATTGCTGAAAGACGAAATTTCCACAACTAACAACGTAGCTATCTACTACTACTTTTAACAACCAAGTACGAGAAAACTTTCATAATTCATCCAAATATGTATCTTTCTAAGCTATATACAGTTTCGCCGGTAACGCAACCATATAGACTTCTGATTCTACGCTAACGCCATCAAGTTAGAAAATCGGTACTACATTTCTTAAATCCTAACAAATAAATTCACACGCGCCCGGCGAGTGTAGGTACTCATGTATCATGCTTATTTTTTTTTTTTTTTTTTTTTTTTAAAAAAACGTTGCCCCACACTAGGATTTTCTCCTGTGTCGTGGGTGCGTTTACAAACATACAATGTCACATACACACATGACACCCAGACCCGGAACAACAATTTGTGGATCACACAAAGAGTTGTTCCGTGCGGGAATCGAACCCGCGACACGTTGCACGGCAGCCAGTTGCCCAGCCACCGCGCCAACCGTGCAGTCATTATATTATGTATTAGGCTTGGCACCGAATTCAAACCTATAAATAGGTAGCACATAGAATTGATAGTGTTTTATTATTAATATTAAAAGTATTAGCTTCACGTACGTAAGAGTGGTATTAAAATATCAATTTTAATTACTTATTTGACACTTTTTTGTTTTTGAAGTCGGTTTTTTTAAACGTAGTTTTTTTTTATTTCTTGTTCCAGATACCACAAATCTTATTCTACGGGCGCGTATGTTCTGGTGACGCGGGCGACCGACTCATTGAGGCACCGGGAGCTTTTGCACCTCCTTTAGAGGGATACCTCATGTGCAGGACAGATAGGAGTAGGCGATTTGAACCCTGCTACTTCTTATTAAGGTAAGTTTTACAATAACAACCTTTTTCATATGTTATAAAAACGGTCAACGTATAAATAAAGTGTTTTATTCTTAAATTACAGAAATAGAAATATCAGTTTTAAAATCAGTCTAGACACAAAATTATCCCCTGAAATGAAGTATATAATGATAATTGGTGTATGGGAATTTTGGTTAAATTTGGTGAATGATGCATTGGTGCCTTTTAAACGATACTAGCTGACCTGACAAACTTCGTTCCGTTTCAAAATTAACTTAAGTTTTCTGACATTTTGAACCTCTGGACTTACACGAATAATGGAAGACCAAAAATAGCCAAATCGGTAATGGCATTGTTGAGTTATAACATTACAACGAAAAGTGGCATTGATTTTATAAATATATAGATTTAGGCAATTTTTTTTAAACATATTATATTTTTTCAGAGCCGGTGTCTTACACTGGGGTCCTCACTCCCCGGACGGCACATCACCCCTCCCAAATAACATTGCTCTCCGCTCCGTACTTGGAGTTCGAAGACACCTGGACTCCTCGCGCCGACCGCATTGCTTCGAGATCGCGTTAGCAGACAATAGCAGACTATTGTTAGCAGCTCCTGATGATGCTACCGCGTCTTCTTGGCTGCAAAGCTTATTGTTACATGCTGCTCAGGTAAGATACTATATGTATAGAGCTTCTTTTAGCAAAGTATGTTGTGTTGAATTGTCAAACAAATTACTATTATCTAGACAATCGGCAAAATATGACCACTTTATGGTAACCCAACCTTTATGTATGCGTTTCGCCTCAAGTTTTTTTATCAAAATCACTAAGCACTGGTATTCTTTGTCAGTATGTTTTTCCTGAAGAGTCTTCAAGGCCCGGAAGAGTAGGTTGCTTATAGACGTAATGCGTGCTATATTTAAGCACATCACGAGACCATACGCCATTGTTCACAAAGAAATATGTTACAACAAAAAGGTACCTCGTTTTTTGCCTTGCACGCCTGCTAAATGAGGCGTATAACCTAACTGGTTCTTACCTATAGTAAGCTAATCATGATCTGATAAATAAAATGATGAAAAAAGGAGGTCGTATGTCATTTATGTCCACATTAAAGACGCTCAAGTCACTGAAATAACATCGAACACATTGCACATATTTTTTAGGCTCTCGAAGAAAAGGACGGTGCAAAGAAATCAAGCGACCGGCCTGGTCCTCCACCAGCTTGCACGGTGCTTGTTACTCCGACCGAAGTTATCAGCGTTCGCGACACGCTGGATCTCGCCTTCGTATCCGGGGCCGCCGCATACCTCAAGGACAGGGGCTCCGATGCCTTGCTCAAAGGTTGACTAGAATTTTAATTACTAAGGGTTGATTTTTCAATAGTCAGATAAATGTTATCTGAGGAATAAAATTGTTGCTGTCACTGTCTTATACAAACATTCTGACGCGACAGCGTCATAATTATTCCCCAGATAACTTTTATATAACCATTGAAAAATCAGCCCTGAAGTTAAGAAGTTAAGGGTAAATTGATTTTAACTTTTCAATCGTAGTAATTGGAGACGTAATAGAAGAACAATTGGTGCACGCGTGCGGTGAATACAAGTTTGCACACTAACTATGTTCGTGTGTGCAGACGATTTACCTGCTTCTATTTCAACCAGTCAAATCTCACTTCGATATAGTAAATGTTTTGTTGGATTGAACTACTTAAATGTTAACGTTTCATTTCAGAATACATAGAGGAGATGCGTACAGACATCGAGATCCTAGCGTGCGGGTCTATAAAGAACTTGACCGCTTTCAAAATACCAGACACCGATGAGAACTGGTGTTGTTTGGTAAGAATATATTTTGTATAAGGCTTAAAACAAATGGAGATTTTTTTAATGGAAAAGTCATCAATTGCATTCTCCCGCCTTGGTTGGGATGAATGGTGGGAGTATTATTCACATCATCAACCTCATCACCAGCCCACCAGTGCAGACTGCTGAGCAAAAGCCTCTTGTCACACGGAGAAGGTTTGAGCATTAATCATCACGCTTGCTCAAGGCGGATTGGTGATTTGAAACTTATTATTAGAAATTATAAGTCCAGGTTTTCTCACGATGTTTTCCCTTAACGTTTGTCAGTATCCTCACCTGTGATGCTTGAAGATGCGTGCGGAACGTCAAATTCAAATTCAAATGTTTATTGTACGCTGTACGCTCGCGTCTGGTTCTGGTTGGGCGGCGACATAGGGACTACTAGAACTGTTATTTCCTTTATGTCTTTACTTGTTTAAAATAAAAATTGCATTAAACCTTATCATATTTAGTGTTGTAGGGGAAAGATTGAAGAGTTGATATTAGTGTTAGACTGAGACTACATTTTATTTTATATTTTTATATTTGTTTGTTTGTGTATTCAGGAGTGGAGTGTATGTGAAGCTCGCGAGCGTGGCGCGGGGCTGGCGCTAGTACTGGCCAGCGGAGCCGAGCTGGAGAGGTTCATCGCCGCCGTCGAACAAGCATTCTGTGCGCTCACTGTAAGTAAACAAAACATTATTTACAAGACCAAAAAGTTGATGGATAAATTTTTATATTTGGAGTCACTATTTAAATATCTTATGACTAAATTTATCGACATAGAAAAGTGAGGTCAAATAAGTGAATTTTAAGTGTGGGAGAGCCATTGTTCGTCACGAATGGATCAGCTCGACCGGAGTTATCACTCCGGTACCACCACGGCCTTACAGAAAACCGAAATAATCACAGTGTGCTGTTTCGCAGTGTGTGTTAATCCCTCTCCAAAAAATTTCCGAAACCCTAACCCAAAAGAACGGGAAATATTCCAAATTAGAATTTAAAAAATCAACCTTTTAATATAATAAAGTATAAAAAATAATAATAATTTAATTCATTGGCGTGACGATGTACTACTTCATTTTAGATTTTATCTCCCAATTTTACATATTTCATACAATATCAACAGAAATATTTGGTTTTTGTTATATCGATATAAGTATTGAGTTTGACTAACAGATTCGACTACAATATCGATAGTAGGGTGTTGTTTCGTCACATAATAAAACATGCCAAACTGATAATCCTTTATTCTTGTTTCTCAGTGTGAGCCATTCCCTTTAAGTGTGGTTGAAGCAGCCAAGTCCGCGTGCAGTTCCGCCCACACGAAGTATGAAGCCGCCTGGTCACATATGTTACCGCAGCAGTAACTCGATAACATATACACATCACTAGTGGTAAGATTACATTCGCTAGGTACTCAGTAACTAGGGATGTGGGCTAGAATATTTTTATCGATATCGATAAATGAAAATTAAAATCAAAGTACTTAAATGTATAGAAGTTATCGAAATTCTATTTGTTTCCTTAAGAATATGTTTGTTGCTGTTTATAAATTGGTCGTCATGTTCCTAGAAATTAAATCTTATCACTAGAATGTTACGGTTTAGACTTAACTGTTATAGGAAATGTGAATTTTGAATTTTAGTTTTAATTGTAAGCGCTTTTCGCCTTGTTCTCATAAATAGAAATAGCGTATTTAGAATGAATAACTAAATTTATCTTCATTTTGACAACACCATATAGTATTTAGTCAAAAGTTGTTACCTGAATTTCTCTTACAAATCTCAATTTAAAATTACGTATCATATACTAACGTAGAAGTTTTCGAATACTCACAATCATCTTAGAATAAATTTTTCCCTCAATATCATCGAATTGGTAGAATTCCAGTCATAGACGTATATACTCTGACTAATCTATATGGTGTTGTCAACTTCTCAAAAGAAAATAATCTCAAATACTCAGTTGTAATTTAGTGAATATTCAGTGAGAGAGAGAGGCGTCCTGCGAGCACAATTTAGTTAAATTGTAAAATAATATTAATATAGATACGCTTCCACAGTTGATATTTCGCTCTTTAAATAGACAATTTCTTCGATATTTGAAGCAAACGGACATACAGTTTAAAAAAAGAACTGATCTTCAAAAAAGTAAATCTCAAAAATACTACATTCCATATTTAAATGGCTTGTTCATGACCAAAGACAAAAATTTAAAGAGGTTGTTTGTATATGTCATCGTTTGCTTCAGAACCCAGTTATTATTATATTATTATACCTAATTATAAGTATTATGTATCGTTATTGTTTATCTATGAATATTATTATGTATTCGAATAATAATCTTAAAATATAATAATTCTTGTTTGTATACTGCTAATTCATATTCCCAAGTTTCATAGTTATATGTCACAACCTATTATATTTATGTACATATTAATGCTATAAGAATATTATTTTACAACAATAAAGTTTAATATTTTTATAGCAATAATGTACACAAGAATATTGATATTAAATCGAATATTATTGAAACATGTATCATAAATATTTAGCTCTTAAATAATAATTATTATAATAATCATATTTATAAAACGGCCAGAGTTAATGGCCAATGCATTGAAACTTTGAGAATTGTATAGAATTAATCACTGTATCTATATTATTTTTGATTCTGGTCACATTTTCCTAATAATAATAATAATTTTGTATATCTATTTCTTGTATATTTGTTTAGAAGATGCGCTAAAGTTGTGTTTTTGTGCGGTCTCCGAACAAAAAGCGCTCTTACTAGTATTACGAAGGGAACAGTAGTGGGGAAAGGAGCTTTGGCTATGTGTACTGTGAATTTGCGCTATTCTGAAACTTGACTGCGAAAATATCTCTAGTAAACAAATCGATTAATCAATAATCGATACAATGAGATATCGATTAACAAGTTTACAGAATAAGTATGCTTCGTGTGACGGCTTAGTAGATTTTGTATGTGAAAAATAAAATTCTAGTTTTTTACAACAAACCTTTTTTAGCTTTATTATTTTTAAAGCTAATTTCAATGGTTCTGTTTTAAAAGTTCGTTTCGTTTTTTCAAAAGGGAATGTTCCCCGGGGTTGATGATGGTGTTACAAGCTTTAATATTTCTTTGGAAAAGGTCTCAAAAAATGTTATTTATGCTATTAGAACAATTTCGTGACGGTTGTCTGCTCGTTACCAAATATATCAATTGTATATCATTTCGTATGTGTATTAGGCCGCTGTAAGGCCGTGTGATATTAATGTATATTTAGGGTAGGTATTAGCGCATCGTGAACCGTGAAATCGCGACATTTTATCTATATGACGTACATTTTCTGATTAGTTTTCTAATTTTCGAAGAAACTACAGTCATTCCGAGTATTTTGATGTCAAAGATATATGTGTTTTTTATCTTGTCTTATATTGACGTATGTTCGTATAGATAAAGTTCCGTGAAAAGAAGTAATAAATCTAAATGCAAGTTTCATAAAATTTATTATAGTTACTTCATAGTCTGTCTGAAAACATACATAGTTATTGATATAAATATTATGTACTCTCGGATATTACTATGTACTTGTGTTCCCATTTATTTGTTGTATTTCCTTATATTATTGCTTTGTTTATAATTGTTTTTATCTATTTATAAACTTGTGTATGTGATTGCGCTTTTACTAAAGGCCATTTTTACGTAAAGTTAGAATATTTACATTGATCAGTTCGAAACTAAAGAGCTTGTAACAAGAAATGGTGCTGGCACCCGAAACTCAGTTTTGAATTTCGAACTGTTTATAATTTGACAGATGTTTGTTTTTAAAAGTCTGTTCTCTTTATACGGAAGTGTTTTTGCTATTCTTAATTTTACGTAAAAGTAGTCGAAACTCTTTGCTAAGTAACTGTGATTTGTGTTGTTTACCATTAAGTTTGTTGTTTATGCATAATATTAGATCAATGTTTTTAGCTTTTAGTATTAGATAATTATTTCAATATTATTATACAAGGATTAAAGGATTAATCAATAGAACTTAATATGAAGACTATTATATTAGGATAGACGAAAAAAAAAACACATTTAATAATAATCATTATTTCGTGTGAAATAAATTGTCTATATCTCTTAATTATTGCCTTGTTGGGAATATTGTAAAGTGAATGGTATTGTAAATTTAATTATTTACAATAAAACTAACAAACTGAATCTTGATCTTGGGTTTTCCTACAACAACATTTATAAAATATAAAAATCTCTTCTTTGGTAACTACAAAATCGATGTTTACAATTGATATTATGAATTGGCTATGATCATTTATTTATTAATTGGTTATTTATTTTTGTTAAATTATTTTTATAAACTATGGTGATCACGACTGTATCTTCCGTTCTTATTGTATAATATCTAAAGTTTGTATAGACGGACGATATTTGTTAAAATCATCTCATCTTTGTAGTATAAATGTCGCTATAGATTTCAGAATCTCGTTGGCCACACTAATGAATCCCCTAGCCAGCTATAATTGTTCTCCATCACATAGAGAAAAATAAAATAAAACAAATACATTTTACTTTACGGTTATGTTAGTGTATTTGAACTAAAACCTTATGTAGGTACATATAAAAAGTCATAGTAACTTTTACAGTCTTCGAAATAAAGTTTGAAATTCAACAAAGATGGGATGCTTTTAACAGTTCACTTTAGAATTTCGGTCCCTTCCCGTAGGTACTCGTAAGTATTACTAAGAACAATAATAATATTAAACGCTGTATTATGTAGAGAATGTTTGATTGTAATGTTTTAGGCGTCGACAAGTAAATGCGATTAGTCGCACCGTAATTGCACAGTCGCAGTTATTTGTCGAGCTAGTCGCAAAATATTTTCTTGTAATAGTGCGTGTCTCTTCAATGTTGTTTTTTGCCGTTCTTGCCAACATCCGTGAAATCTAAAGGATACTTACTATCTTTTTATTTTTATTATTATATATTTCAATGTCTATGTCAAGATTAAGAGTCTAAAAAAGAATTTGAAGTATTCTCTAGCAGATCGTGAAAACACAATTTGGTCTGTGTAATATCCATATTCAGTAAAAATGTTTGAAAAAAGAATTCTGGTATTTAAAGACTCAATTAAAATTCTCGAATGTGTTTATTAACTGCTTGCCCTATTCCAAAGAGTCCTTATATCGCAGGCGATATAGGTAATTATAAAATTACGAAAAAATATTCCTATATTAATTCCAAAGATATTTGTATATTTTTTTTTGTAGGTATATTATTTCGTTGAAGAGACACAGCAAAGATAACATTTTGTAGTACGTTGTCCTAACTCAGCATAAAGGCAATTCGAATTTAATATCGCTTGACATTATTGTTCATGTAAACAATATAATAAATATTTGCGGAAGTATTTTCATTGTTTTATTTTGTCACTTACCTGTCTTTAAGCAAATTTTAAGATACCTACCCAATTTAAATTTCTTAGGTCAAATAATATATCTATTTATACAATAAAATTTGTGTTTGCACGTATATTATTATATGTCTGGATGTATCTTTTTTATATATTTTTTAATTTTGTACCTAAGTAGATAAATTTACCTATTTAGCTTAGAACCGAACTTGCTAGTTGACCGGTAAAGAATGCTATTATATTAAATTGGCCAAGTAATATCGTATTTAATACCGTGCAACGTACGGACGTACGTGTCGCAGTTTCGATTCCCTCACGGGACAACACTTTGTATGATCCACAAATTCTTGTTAAAAGTCTGGGTGTGATGTGTACGTGAAATTCTATGTTTGTAAACACACTTATGACACAGGAGAACTTCTTAGTGTGGGGTGCGACGTTATTACCTATTGTCTGTGAGCTGTCTTGTTAAAGTAAAGCTGGATTTGAAAGATTAGAAAAATATGTGGTGCATGGCCCATTATGTAGTGATGTCTGTCTATCTTATTTATGTGTTACAGGAGAAATTAAGTTTCTAGTCTTTAAAAAGTTTCTATGTGTTTCATTGTCATTAAACTTCTAGTCCTTTGCGTTGCGGAAAATTAATAATAGAATTTTATTAGCCGCTTACCTATAGCCAAATGCATTTTCAAATACAAAACTTAATTATTACACCATATTGAGCAATAGTTAATTAATTATTCATAAAATGTTATTCTCGTCCTATAAAACGGGATTGACAAGCGGCTAGAGAACGCTATGAAACCTGTTTTATAGCTTACCGACCGGTAAACAACACACCTCCGAGACCATGTTACTAGATCAATCGGTAGGAATTGTGACGCAGGACACGTAGACATTTATAAAGGTAAACTTTATGTAGGTACGTTAAACAAGGGGTAAATAGACAAACAAAAGGGGTGAATAGATGTGGGTGAATTTTCCTAGTATTTACCTATTTTCTCTCTTCTGCTTCTATTCAACCCTCGAATTCTATACACCCCTTTTACCACTACCTAAGTCAAAGTCAAAAGTCAAAATCATTTATTTCAACTAAACCATAAATAGGTACTTTTGAAACGTCAAAATAGAGAAGTAATACCTACTATTTTTTTCTGCGAAATCGTAGCTCTAACAGAGACCTCATTAGATTATTATAGAGGTAGGTATACCTATGGGTGTATAAATGTGAGTTATTACATAGGTACTAAGTACCTAGTGCTACGTGTTACTGAAAATTAAGAATTATTAACGTTTGGTAACCAACTCTCCGACACAGAAGTCGTAGATACCGAAGTTGCTGAGCTACAGCAAAATTACAATCAATATTATTATGGTTCCCAAAGAGCTAGCTACAGATCTAGCGTGATGTTTTATAGCCTAAAGCCTTCCTCAAAAAATTGATAGACCATTCATTGAGGAAGTCTTTAAACACCAAAGAACACTTTTCTTAACTTGAGATTAGCGCGTTCAAACAAACAACCTCTTTAGCTCTATAATATTAGTATAGATTTTACGTACTGAATAGTCTAGCTCTATCATAACAAAGCTAAATACTGTGCTGTGATTACCAAAATAGGTAGGCGTGGCTTATTTAAGCATATCACAAAACCACACCACACCTACAATACCTTGTTGACACAAAACCACAACAACAACATTCAGGAAACTGTTTATGTTGTTTTGCATTGTTTTTCTGCGTAGTAGGTAAGTTTGATTCTAGTAAATTAATATGCATATGCGAAAGAATGTGCTTGCCTCCCTACGTAGTTACCTAGTACTAAATAAATAGCATTTACATTAGCTTGTATCAAAATAATCTCAGAACAGATACCTAATACAATAATAACACCGTTATAGGTCAAAGTAATTCCTAGCTACAATTACTTAATTTTTTGACAATTCATTAGGTATTTGGTCACAACTAGAAATAAGAACATGGTTGCCTACATTGCCATCTAGTACATAATATATTGCTGAGAGTAGAAACAACAGGTGCAGTGTAAAAAAATGTTTTAGGTAAGTAAGAAATATCATGTAAATTGTGTAACGATGATTTGATTCATTAAGGTGAAATGTGCAGATAAATAAATCTGTAAGTACCTTGGTAACTATTAGCACCTTTTTCACATACCTAGGCTTGTTTTTTTTTGAGAGTTTAGATCATCGCTTGTTTTCTCCCGCAGCAGGGAGTGTCAGAGTCTTGTTGACCAAAAACGGTTCCATTTCTTCCTAGTTCCGAGCCCTGGCCCACGGGCAAATAGCTTCACTTAGAGGTCCGGACAGACAGACACTTTTTATCTTTAAGCTTAAAGTCTAATTGAAATACATGATTTTGGCTTTGACGGCACGTTATTGCGGCTGCACCCGCAAACCCTGGCTGATATTACCTAAGTACATCTAAGTAAAAGAAAATTCTAGAAGGACTTTCTACTTACTTTGGTTTTGTTATGAACGAACAAAAATATTATTTATTATCTCGTAACTATGTAAAGTTTCTTCATTACATGTTTTGTTATTTATCTGTATCTCTTTATATACTTACAAACCATATCTTTATCATAAACAAACCGGCCGCATTTGCATAGCCGTCGGGTGGTAATCGTCGAGAGTTCGACACAGTGGCCTAGTCGGTTCTCTCTGTCCTTTCGAAGATCACGTCTCCTAAGATGGCAGAGTTAAAGGTGAGATTGGAAACCTTCTTTTTAATATTACGTGATGTAAAGAAACATTGACTTATAACTGGGTACTTATTATCTACTCAATAGTATTTCAATAGTATACAGCAGTTAATTAAAATGCTAAAGAATTATGCATGTCTGCCTGTGAGTTTTCGTAGTCTGGTCTCTATTGTAGTTGATGTTCACTGCATACCACCCATGGGTTAAAGGCAACAGATTATGGGAGCATCTAAATATGAGAGAACCTAATTTATTACAAATGCGAAATTTACGATGTTTGAATGTTTGTTACTCAATCACGCCAAAACGGCTGGACGGTCCTGGATGAAATTTGGCACAGGTATGGGATACACTCCGGAATAGGACATAGGCTACTTTTTAACAAGGTGCCACGCGAGCGAAGTCGCGGACGAAAGCTAGTATACCTAAATAACGTTAAACTTGTGGCGTTATTAGATATAGTTGAAAATATAGCACCCTATGTTCTAACAATTATGGGGACTACTTACTCACATATTTTATGTTGTTGACACTGGTCATGGTTATCCCATATTCGTCGCCATATTTTTTGTCGCTCTCCATTTGATAGTTTTCGTGTGAAAGAGTAAAAAACACACGCACTTCGTCAACTCACTTGTTAATATTATCTAGTTGTTGATGGAAAACCAGTTCCTCTGGTAAGTCAGAGGCGAGTTGTGCGTAAAAATAGAATTATAGATATTATGTTGGTTGGTTTCTGTTGAGAATTAGCTACAAGTTTTGTTGTGTGTACAATCTTATTATTATTAATGGTAAATAATAAGACAGAGCAACATTTCAGAATTTTTATATTTATTTGTATAGTATTATAATGTTCTGCGACATTCATAGCTTTAACCATTGTTTTGAATCTCGATGGAAACTCGAAGTGGAGTGTTACCATTATACCGTTGTGTTTCTCGACTAAAGTATATATTTATTTTTATTTTAAGTTTTATTTAAATAATATAAACATTTTACTACAAAATTTTTTATTTCAATCTGCTTAAAAAGCTTGATCTTTATAAGTAGGTACCGATCTGAATGATAAGCGAAATTTAATCTATTCGATATCTTATCTACAAAATCAAATCGAAATAGGTACCTAGAGTATTTCGTTAAACCATTGTTTCATGAGATAAGGGATAAGGGTCTATTTTGATGGTCTTTATCCTAACAATAATTGCAAAAAGGTAGAATCTAAATTCAGTTGGCAAAATTATTGCCTAGCAAATGAAAGAAGTCTGAGAAGAACCTAATCAATATCATCTTGTTTAGTACCTCGCGGGTTTTGGATCGGAGTTCCAATCGGAGGACCCTCGGAGACCTGGCGCCCTTCCTGAAGGACAGAACAACCCCCAACGCTGTCCCTACGGACTGTATGCTGAGCAGGTGTCTGGCACCGCCTTCACTGCACCCAGACATGAAAACAAACGTTCTTGGTTGTACAGGTAAGATACTTCAATCATCATCATCATCATCATCATCATCATCATCAGCCTATAAGTGCCCACTGCTGAGCAAAGGCATCTTCTTACACGGAGAAGAAGATAATTCAATATCAAATTCAAATTTATTTTTAATGTGTGTGCATCGATCACTAATAAAGAACTTCTACTTAACTTTAAGTTCTCTAATAGTGATCGATGTGTGTGTGTTAGTGTGTGTGTTGTGTGTGTGTGTGTGTGTTGGGTGTGTTACAAGTGATTTTGTCATATAGCAATGCTTTTTGTTGATCAAAGTTTAAATGGAGGAGATACACAGGAGAGACACTCTCCTCGATCCTTCCCAGAAACTAGTATAATATTAATCAGGTTTTATAGATATCAGCAATGTGCTGTATGTTTATGAGCGAATACTTAACGATATGTTTCTTAAAACGTACCTACCTATTTAAAAAACCAACTTACAACTGTTAAATACACTAGTGGTGACGATACACATGTTCATTTCAGAATTCGCCCATCAG